GACATGTAAAGGGTCATGTATATGTGGGGAGTGTGAGGGGACAGTGTGCAAGGGAGCTATGTACTCCACATTCTGCATAATGGTGGATCTGCTGAGCCAATGAAGATCATATAGCTTTTAGAAATGCTGCCTCCTGGTTTGGAATTGAAGTCACTTCCCCAACATTTGAAGTATTCATATTTAGGGAACGCCAACACCCTTCCTGTTATCATCTCCTCGCTCCTTACCAAGGAACAAGAAGAACTGCTGATCAGCAAATTGAAAAAGTATCAAGGGGCTATTGGTTGGACCATAGCGGATCTTAAAGATATCAGTCCCACTTTTTGCATGCATAAAATATTATTGACTGACCCTGACAGCTTTTCAGTAGAACATCAAAGGATATTGAACCATATTATGAAAGAGGTGGTAAGAAAGGAAGTCATCAAGTGGTTAGATGCAGGAATCATATATCCTATTTCAGATAGTAATTGGGTAAGTCCTGTCCAATGTGTTCCCAAAAAAAGGGGGCATAATTGTGGAGCTAAATACAAAAAATGAGCTGATCGCTCTAAGAAAAGTCACAAGTTGAAGAATCTGCCAGGACTACAGAAAACTCAATGCTGCCACAAGGAAAAACCACTTCCCACTTCCTTTCACAGATCAGATGCTAGATCACCTAGCAGGTAAGGAATATTCCTGTTTTCTTGATGGTTATTCTGGATATAACCAAATTCATCTAGCAACAGAAGATCAACACAAAACCATTTTCACCTGCCCCGATGGAACATTTTCTTTCAGAAGAATGCCTTTTGAATTATGCAATGCACCAGCAACGTTTCAAAGATGTATGTTTTCTATTTTTTCTGACTTAATAGGTGAGTGGAAGTTTTTATGGATGATCAGTCTTAGGAACGTCATATGATCACTCTTTGGTTAATTTGGAAGAAGTCTTGCAAAGATGCCTCTATTCTAATCTAGTTCTTAACTGGGAGAAATGCCACTTTATGGTAAAAGAAGGAATTATCTTAGGACACAAAATCTCCAAGAACGGACTAGAAGTAAACCAAGCCAAGGTAGAAGCTATAGCCAAGATGCCACCCCATGTCAATGTTAAAACTCTCAGATCATTTCTTGGGCATGCTGGCTTCTACAGAAGGTTTATTAAAGATTTTTCCAAAATAACTAGACCCTTTTGTCATCTATTGGAAAAAGATGCTAAATTTGAATTCAGTTCTGAATGTTTGAAAGCTTTTGAAGCTTTAAAGAGTAAGTTAATCACTACTCATGTTATTCAACCCCCAGATTGGAACTTACCCTTTGAGTTAATGTGTGATGCGAGTGATCAAGTTATTGGGGGTAGTTCTGGGTCAGAGGAAGGACAAACTCTTTCGTAGCATATACTATGCCAGAAAAACTTTAAATGAAGCTAAAGTGAATTACATAGTCACTGAAAAGGAGCTATTGGCTATAGTATATGCCTGCGAAAAGTTCAGGCCATACATTCTAGGATCCAAAGTCACTATTCATATTGAGTATGCAGCTCTCAGATACCTGTTTGCCAAGAAAGAGGCAAAACCTCATTTGATAAGATGGATTCTACTGCTACAAGACTTCAATTTGTAAATCAAAGAAAGAAAAGGATGCGAAAATCAAATTGCCGATCACTTATCCAGATTGGAACACACCAAAGTTGGACTGCCTATCAAGGAGACGTTCCCTGATGAACAACCGTTTGTTATTCATGACAAAAATGTTCCTTGGTTTGCTGATATAACTAACTTTCTTGCAGCAGGAATAGAACCCTATGAAGCAAACAAGATGCAAAAAAAGAAATTCTTTCATGATTGCAGGAGCTATTTATGGGGATGAACCTCTACTATTCAAAAGATGTGCAGACCAAATGATAAGGAGGTGTGTTCCAGAAGAAGAGTAACCTAAAACCCTATGTTGAGAGGAATGACAGTAGAAGAGGATTTGAGGTTACTCTTCTTCCGGAACGCACCTCCTTATCATTTAGTCTGCACATCTTTTGAATAGTAGAGGTTCATCCTCATAAATAGCTCTTGTAATCTGAAAGAATTTCTTCTTTTGCATCTTGTTTGCTTCATAGGGTTATATTCATGCTGCGAGAAAGTTAGCTATATCAGCAAACCAATGAATGTTTTTGTCATGAATAACAAACGGTTATTCATCAGGGAACGTCTCCTTGAGAGGCAATCCAACTTTGGTGTGTTTCAATCTGGATAAGTGATCTGCAATTCGATTTTCACATCCTTTTCTTTCTTTGATTTCCAAATTGAACTCTTGTAGCAGTAGAATCCATCTTATCAAACGAGGTTTTGGCTTTTTCTTGGCAAATAGGTATCTGAGAGCTGCATGGTCAGTATGAATAGTGACTTTGAATCCTAGAATGTATGGCCTGAACTTTTTGCAGGCATATACTATAGCTCGTAGCTCCTTTTCAGTGACTGTGTAATTACTTGAGCTTCATTTAAAGTTTTGCTGGCATAGTATATGCTACGAAAGAGTTTGTCCTTCCTCTGACCCAGAACTACCTCAATAACTTGATCACTCGCATCACACATTAACTCAAGGGAAAGTTCCAGTCTGGGGGTTGAATAACATGAGTAGTGATTAATTTACTCTTTAAAGCTTCAAAAGCTTTCAAACATTCAGAACTGAATTCAAATTTAACATCTTTTTTCAATAGATGACAAAGGGGTCTAGCTATTTTGGAGAAATCTTTAATAAACCTTCTGTAGAAGTCAGCATGCCCAAGAAATTATCTGAGAGTTTTAACATTGACAGTGGGAGGCATCCTGGCTATAGCTTCTACCTTGGCTTGGTCTACTTCTAGTTCGTTCTTGGAGATTTTGTGTCCTAAGACAATTCCTTCTTTTACCATGAAATGACATTTCTCTCAGTTAAGAACTAGATTAGAAGAAAGGCATCTTTGCAAGACTTCTTCCAAATTAACCAAAGAGTGATCATATGACGTTCCTAAGACTGGTCATCCATAAAAACTTCCACTCACCTATTAAGTCAGAAAAAATAGAAAACATACACCTTTGGAACGTTGCTGGTGCATTGCATAATCCAAAAGGCATTCTTCTGAAAACAAACGTCCCATAGAGGCAGGTGAAAATGATTTTGTGTTGATCTTCTGGTGCTAGATGAATTTGGTTATATCCAGAATAACTATTAAGAAAATAGAAATATTCCTTACCTGCTAGGTGATCTAGCATCTGATCTGTGAAAGGAAGTGGAAATTGGTCTTTCCTTGTGGCAGCATTGAGTTTTCTATAGTCCTGGCAGATTCTTTAACTTGTGACTTTTCTGACAGGGATTAGCTCATTTTTTGTATTTAGCTCCACAGTTATGCCCTTTTTTTTGGGAACACATTGGACAGGACTTACCCAATTACTATCTGAAATAGGATATATGATTCTTGCATCTAACCGCTTGATGACTTCTTTTCTTACCACCTCTTTCATAATATGGTTCAATATCCTTTGATGTTCTACTGAAAAGATGTCAGGGTCAGTCAATAATATTTTATGCATGCAAAAAGTGGGACTGATATCTTTAAGATCCGCTATGGTCCAACCAATAGCCCCTTGATACTTTTTCAATTTGCTGATCAGCAGTTCTTCTTGTTCCTTGGTAAAGAACGAGGAGATGATAACAGGAAGGGTGTTGGCGTTCCCTAAATATGCATACTTCAAATGTTGGGGAAGTGACTTCAATTCCAAACCAGGAGGCTGCTCTGCAGATGGTCTTTTGACTTGTTTTTCTTTTTCAGTCCTGTTCAGAGGCTCAGGTTTTCTTTCTTGTAGATAAGGAATTTATTCCTCCTCTTGTAAACTATTTTCTTTTTCTGATTCTTCATCATGTTTTTCTGATTTTTCATCATCTGAATTCAAGTTGACATGGGTATCTAACACACATATCACAGAGCATTCTTCCAAATCTTCTATATCATCATGGAACTTCATGGCTTTAAGGACATTGAACTTAATCTCATCATCATGCACATGGTGAGTTCCATTTTCTGTACATTGATGATTGCTCCTCCAGTTGCAAGGAAAGGTCTTCCCAAAATGATGGGAACGTCAACATCAGCTTCATAGTCTAGGATGATGAAATCAACAGGAAAAATGAACCTGCCTACTTTGACCAACAAATCCTCCACTTTTCCTTCAGGCTTGACAATGAATCTAGTAGCCATCTGCAGTGTTACAGTTGTGGGTTTTACTAGTCCAGTAGCTAGTTGTTTGAAGACTGAGGAGGGCATCAGATTGATGCTTGCTCCCAAGTCACACAAGGCTTTGCCTTGGTAAGTGTTTTCTATAACACAGGGAATGGTAAAACTCCCAGGATCCTGTAGTTTTGGTGAAATTTACCCAAATATTTGCAGCTTTCTTGCTTCAGTGTCAAGGTTTCATATTCTTTCATTCTTTTTTTTGTGTGGAAAGAACGTCTTTTATGAACTTGACGTACTTCATCAGATTGATGCTTGCTCCCAAGTCACACAAGGCTTTGCCTTGGTAAGTGTTTTCTATAACACAGGGAATGGTAAAACTCCCAGGATCCTGTAGTTTTGGTGAAAGTTTACCCAAATATTTGCAGCTTTCTTGCTTCAGTGTCAAGGTTTCATATTCTTTCATTCTTTTTTTTGTGTGGAAAGAACGTCTTTTATGAACTTGACGTACTTGGGCATCTATTCCAGAGATTCCACCAAAGGTATGTTGATATAAAGTTGCTTCAGGATGCTCAAATTTTTTCCAAATTATTTGTCATCCAGCTGCTTCTTCGTTCTTTGAGGGAATGATACTGCAACTGGTAGTGGTTTCTTCTGTGGTGGCCTAGCTGCTTGACTGCTTTCAACTCGGGTTTGCTCACCAGCTAGAGTTATCTCCTCAAGTCCTTGGTTTTTGGCACTAGCTACTTACATTTGTTGTTGATGTGCAATACTTGGATATACCTCAACTAGTTCAACACATTCCTCCTCAGTATTCATGGTTGTGGTCTTGGGAGTGTTTGAGGTTTATGTAGCAACTCTCTCACTCCTCAAGGTGATTGCTTTGATCTGCTCTGGGGAGGATGTTGAGGGAACTTCAGTGTCTCCTGGCAGTTATCCAAGCACTCTGGTGTTAAGGCTAGCAGCTATTTACCCCAAGTGGGACTCAAAGTTTCGAACAAACTGCATCATTTCTGGTAACACACTCCTTCACATAATTTTCCAATGCAAGGAGTTTCGGTAATAAGAAAGAAAAGGGAAAAATTATAATGGAAAAATGTAAGCAGATAAAAAAAAGACGTGTTCCCCTCCTATCCAACATCTTCATCTCTATTCTCCTTCTTTATCTTGCACAAGAACCTAAGTTAGACTCTTCACCACAATATCCATAAAATCAACTCCAGCCACCGACTAGCTTCCTCATCGTCTGTCTGTGGCGGCTAACCACCACTGCCGCTTCTGTCAGGGCTGCATGACGTCGCCGCCGCACAACCGTCACCACCGCTTCCCCACCGCACACGTCATTGTGCCCACCTATCTGTCTGCGCTGAACCACCTCTGTGAGTCTAAAGTTTTTGGAAATGGATCCTCTTACGTGAAAAAATATATGATATGGTAATGTGAGAAGATAACAACCAGATAAAGGTAAATCAACGGTTATGATTTCGTTACTTGTTTTAACATTTTTTTCTCTCCTCCATTATTACTATTGATATCTACCCTTGTATGGTTATGATTCTCCACATGATATGATCATATGAATTTTCATATGAGAGGATCCAGATCCAAAGTTTTCTTTCTTTTCATTTGAAGAGGGTTTCCCACCTCTTGAAATCTGACGCCAATTTAACCCACTTTATCCCATTGGTCTTCACATTGCAAAATATTCAAAACAAAGTAGGCCCAAGTCACATTTTAGTATAAAACCAAAGTTACTTTTGGGCCTATGCAAGTTAGACTAGTTTGTGTTTTGATAGATGAGTAAATGAGAGTAACAGTTATTAAAAATGGACATATCTTAATCGGTTCATCGTTTCGTGACTAGTCCGATTCAAGGCGAGTTCCAGGATTAAACTTTTAAATCCCTCTTACAGAGGGTACTGAGGAGGATCAAACGCATATTCTCACCTCCAACTGTTCAGTTTTCTGACGCCAACAGAATTACCATCATTATATGAAAGTTAGAGTTATTAAAAATATAATTTAAATTGTCGAAGAATATTATTAACAGTTTAAAATTAAATATTAATAAATGTAAAATCATATCGAAGTAATTAAAATCGGGAATAAAGATTAGCTTGTGTAACGTACCCTTTAATATTATTAGCTTTATTATTGTCTTATGTAATATATCATTTTGTATTTTGTGATTGATTATTAAAAAAATTTAAAATTTGTTGCATTCCTCTTTTATTTCAGGTTAATAAATGAGTTAATTTAACTGTGGCAGTTCATTGACTCTTTAATTCTTATTCTCAGTCATTTCAACGGCGACAATTCGATGATTCAAAATTTTATTATCCAATGAATTAAGGAAAATGTGTTTCTCATGCAACACACAAAAGTGGACGAGATCTACTTTTTTCTCTCTCCTTATTAGTGGGTCTCATCCACTTTTTTGTATGTTGCATGAGACAAATTGTCTCATGCAACATAAGAAAAATCAAACCCATAAATTAATTCCTAAAAAATGTTTTCAATATTTGAGGATGGTAATAACAATCGCAATATTTTTTATTATTAAATTTTCAAGAATAAAGTATCAAAACATAATTTTTAAATAAAAGATTAGCTGAGCCGTGATGGTTTGTTAATCTTACGCATTTCATTTAGAATTATTTCAATTGTGATAGTGTGATGACTTTAAGTCGTTTAATAATAATAAATGAACAAACAAACAATTGTAGTTTTTATTGATTATTTTGGGTTAATTTAGAAGATAAAGAAGATTGATTTGCTATTAATTAAAATGGGAGTTAATTGAGTCGAGACAGCTTGTTAACCCAAAATATTTTATTTTAGGTTATTTTTGCTTTGACAACTTGATGATTCAGAACTAATTTTGATTTCTTTAGTAATAATAAAATAACAATAAAATTATTTTAAGGGTGATTTAGACGTGACAGCTTTTTAACCTTGTGTTGAGGAAGCTACAATGTCTAAATTTCACTAGGAAATATGGGAACATTCTAGATCTACTAGAAGTTGATGTACAAGGGGAGGTGATTATTGCATTGGCTTAATTCTATGACCCACCTTTGAGATGCTTCGCCTTTCAGGATTTTCAGCTAGCACCCACCTTGGAATAATTCGAGCAAATCTTGGGTTTGTCCTTGGAAAATGGGAAGCCATATCACTACTTGAGGCACTACCCTTCTATGCACACTATTGTTGAGATTTTGAGATTGCCTACGAAGGAATTACAAAAAAGAAAACAAGTTAAGAATGATACTGAAGGATTCCAAAAACAATATCGAGAAGACCACCTTCGTCACTTAGCCAAACACGAGGACTGGGATGCTTTCATTGATGTGTTGACCTTCACCATTTATGGCAAAACCATATTCCCAAACATTGATGAATTTGTGGACTCTGCAGTTATTAATGTGTTTGATGTTTGTAAGTTTAAAGGTGAAAACCTTATTTCGGCCATCCTTGCTGATAATTACTATATCTTAAACTTTTGTTATTAAAACAAAGGTAAATGAATCATATGCTGCTTACCGATGTTGTTTGTAGGGCTAACCACACGTGTTTAAAAGAGAATGTAAAACATTGTGCCTAATTGCTGATCTCCAAAGATATTAATTGAAAGCTAAAAGTTGTCGAGAGTGGGCTTGAATTTTAGCACAAATTGATGAAAAAAACGTTCGATGGCGCCCCCAATTAGCCAAAAGGGAAACATTGATATACCAATGCGGAGATTTTCCAAATGTGCCTCTCATGGGTACTCAGGGATGCATAAATTATAATCCATCTTTGGCTCTAAGACAACTGGGATATCCCATAAGAGAAGCTCCTACTAAAGATATGGTAACCCTTTTATCCTGTATGGTATGAGTTTAAGATATAATGATAGCCTCAAGAAAATTTGAGATGCTTGGAACATATTCATTCGGAAAGGAAAAGAATTCGGACCTAAAAGTTGCGTAGCCAAAGAGAATTATTGCTAATGGGTCAGGGATCGAGCATGAGAAGTAAAACTACTATTTCAAGTTCTGACAATTACTACAAATGATGAATCAACAGTGTTTGTTCCCATGAAAACGAAGAGATAAGAGAAATAGAAGAAAAACTGATGAATGTTGAAGAGAAGAATAAGAATATGGAAGAAGAGCTAAAAGAAGCTCAACAGAGGTGTGGGGCCTTGGAACGAGAAAATGAGAGGAAGAATCAAACTCTCGAGAGAGCTAATAAAAAGGTCAAAATCGAGGAAGACTATATGCTAAAAACTAAAAGGTGCCTTCAGTCGAAAAATATGGAGTTAAGTCTCTGAAGACAAGAAAGAGATAAGGTTATTGCTAAAAGCACATAACTTAAAGGGTTACTCATAAATTCCAATGTGGCTCACAAAGATTCAAAAAGGCATCTATTCTAGAGACTTGGGAGCAATGTGGTCCCTTTATACTTATCAAAATCAGGTACTTTAAACTTTGGGGGAATCATAACATTAGGAACAAGACAAAGTTTAGAGGCATTTCCAAGTCCATAATTACTTCCTCCTTCTATAATTCTCAATCTTTCTTCAAAAATCTCTAATTTCCCCACAGATTATAGAATTTCAACTGAAAAATGATTTAAGATGTCATGAGCAGTTCCATGAGGGAAGTGTCATATCATATATACAAGATTAAAATGTGGTGTTAGTGGATCCCCATTTGAATTAAAGGGAAATACTTGAGGCTGGGATGCAATTTGTGGGTTTGAAACATGTTGAACCATCGTTGCGCTACCAACAGGGAATGGTAGTTGTATCTGCAGGTTTTAATTGGTATTTGGGTGAGGACCTTGCGGTTGGGTAAAGTTTGGAGTAGGTGTTGGTGTGTTATTGTCTACAAGATTAGTGGCTTGTGGTGGCACGTACCCTAGAGGCAGGTCATATGGGGGGAACGATGGCATATGAACCTCTTGTAAATTATTAAGAGGTAGTTGTGTGGGGTTGTTTGCGGGATTAGTGGCTTGTGATGGCACGTACCCTGGAGGCAGGCCATATAGGGGGAACAATGGTACATAGATCTGTTGTAGATTATTAAGAGGTGGTTGTGTGTTTTGCTGTGCTCCTCCTATTGCTCTATTGGCTCCCAACATATTAAGAGACTCTATTATTGCTTGCACCATTTTTTCCATTCTCACTTGAGATCTTGACATCACATTTGCTCATTCTCTCGCTTCGTCTACTTCCTGAGTTATGTTCCTCCCCTTTTGGTTGCTTGCTTCCATTCTGATTCGAGATCTGGTATTGTGAACTCAAGTTTGATTGGTATTATCTTTCCTTGGTCGCGCAATGTTTGAATCTTAATATGTATTCTGCAAGTGAGATCAATTAAATTTAGGAAAATTATGTTTATTTTTATTTTAGTGTAACGATGACATAATGAGGATTATTAGTTAGAATAATGCTAATATTGCAAGCTTATCAGAGAACTATTGATGCGTGTAAGCTTAACGTGAGTATCATTGATTATTTTTTGTTACGACTGTTCCTCGGAGCGTCACGTTTGAAAGTACTACGTCCTACTAAATGTCAAAACAAGACCACAAACAAGTAGCGAATAGAACATCTTCCTTAAGAACCATAACATAGTACAAGTGTTACATTGCTTTTACATGCGCCTGATGGCTAATTGTTTCATTTTCAAAATACTCAATAAAGTCGCAAATCTCTACAGAAGTAGTAAGGAGGTTCACCATCGCCTCTGCTATTCTCAAATTGTTTGGGATAACTCTAATTGCCTCATTAGAGAATTCAGCCAAATTGGAAAAGCAAGTCATCCAAAATGCTTTTTCATGTATATATGCAGCAATAATTTCATTCTACTCTCCGATATAATCGGTTAGCCTTTGTACTTTTCCTACTTTCTTCGAATTGGATCTTGGTACATCGCGATTAGTTCCTCTATACACTATTTTTCTCTTTCTATCCTATCTTCATATTTTGCAACCTTCACCTCTATTTGTCACCTCATTTCTGCTATTTGCCTTTTGAATCTTTGTGAGCCACATTGGAATTTATGAGTAACCCTCTAAGTTATGTGCTTTTAGCAATAGCCTTATCTCTTTCTTGTCTTCAGAGACTTAACTCCTTATTTTTTGCCTGAAGGCACCCTTTAGTTTTCAGCATATAGTCTTCCTCGATTTTGACCTTTTTATTAGCTCTCTCGAGAGTATGATTCTTCCTCTCATTTTCTCGTTCCAAGGCCCCACACCTTTGTTGAGCTTCTTTTAGCTCTTCTTCCATATTCTTATTCTTCTCTTCAACATTCATCAGTTTTTCTTCTATTTCTCTTATCTCTTCGCTTTCATGGGAACAGACACCGATGATTCATCATTTGTAGTAATTGTTAGAACTTGGAATGGTAGCTTTACTTCTCATGCTCGATCCCTGACCTATTAGCGATAATTCTCTTTGGCTACGCAACTTCTAGGTCCCAATTCTTTTCCTTTCTGAATGAATTTGTTCCAAGCATCTCAAATTTTCTTGAGGGTATCATTATATCTTAAACTCATACCATACAGGATAAAAAGGGTTACCATATCTTTAGTAGGAGCTTCTCTCATGGGATATCCCAGTTGTCTTAGAGCCAAAGATGGATTATAATTTATGCATCCCCGAGTACCCATGAGAGGCAAATTTGGAAAATCTCCGCATTGGTATATCAATGTTTCCCTTTTCGCTAATTGGGGGCGCCATCGAACGTGTCTTTCATCAATTTGTGCTAAAATTCAAGCCCACTCTCTACAACTTTTAGCTTTCAATTAATATCTTTAAAGACCAGCAATTAGGCATAATGTTTTACATTCTCTTTTAAACACGTGTGGTTAGCCCTACAAACAACATCGGTAAGCAGCATATGATTCATTTACCCTTTTTTTTCATAACAAAAGTTTAAGGTATAGTAATTATCAGCAAGGATGGCCGAAATAAGGTTTTCACCTTTAAACTTACCGACAACAAACACATTAATAACTGCAGAGTCCACAAATTCATCAATGTTTTGAAATATGGTTTTGCCATAAATGGTGAAGGTCAACACATCAATGAAAGCATCCCAGTCCTCGTGTTTGGCTAAGTGACGAAGGTGGTTTTCTCGATATTTTTTTTGGAATCCTTCAGTATCATTCTTAACTTGTTTTCTTTTTTGTAATTCCTTCGTAGGCAATCTCAAAATCTCAACAATAGTGTGCATAGAAGGGTAGTGCCTCAAGTAGTGATATGGCTTCCCATTTTCCAAGGACAAACCTAAGATTTGCTCGAATTCTTCCAAAGTGGGTGCTAGCTGAAAATCCTGAAAGGCGAATCATCTCAAAGGTGGGTCATAGAATTAAGCCAATGCAATAATCACCTCCCCTTGTAGATCAACTTCTAGTAGATCTAGAATGTTCCTATATTTCCTAGTGAAATTTAGACATTGTAGCTTCCTCAACACGAGATTAAAAAGCTGTCACGTCTAAATCACCCCTAAAATAATTTTAATGTTATTTTATTATTACTAAAGAAATCAAAATTAGTTCTAAATCATCAAGTTGTCAAAGCAAAAATAACATAAAACAAAATATCTTGGGTTAACAAGCTGTCTCGACTCAATTAACTCATATTTTAATTAATAGCAAATCAATCTTCTTTATTCTTTATCTTCTAAATTAACCCAAAATAATCAATAAAAACTACAATTGTTTGTTTTTTCATTTATTATTATTAAATGACTTAAAGTCATCACACTATCACAATTGAAATAATTCTAAATGAAATGCGTAAGATTAACAAACCATCACGGCTCAGCTAATTTTTTATCTAAAAATTATGTTTTGATACTTTATTCTTGAAAATTTAATAATAAAAAATATTGTGATTGTTATTACCATCCTCAAATATTGAAAACATTTTTTAGGAATTAATTTATGGGTTTGATTTTTCTTATGTTGCATGAGACAATTTGTCTCATGCAGCATACAAAAAAGTGGATGGGACCCACTAAGAAGGAGAGAGAGAAAAAGTAGATCTCGTCCACTTTTGTGTTGCATGAGATAAATTATCGCATGCAACATGAGAAACACATTTTTCTTAATTCATTGGATAATAAAATTTTGAATCATCGAATTGTCGCAGTCGAAATGAATGAGAATAAGAATTAAAGAGTCAATGAACTGCCACAGTTAAATTAACTCATTTATTAACCTAAAATAAAAAAGGAATGCAACAAATTTTAAATTTTTTTAATAATCAATCACAAAATACAAAATGATATATTACAATAATAAAGCTAATAATATTAAAGGATACGTTACACAAGCTAATCTTTATTCCCGATTTTAATTACTTCGATATGATTTTACATTTATTAATATTTAATTTTACACTGTTAATAATATTCTTCGACAATTTAAATTATATTTTTAATAACTCTAACTTTCATTTAATGATGGTAATTCAGTTGGCGTCAGAAAACTGAACAGTTGGAGGTGAGAATATGTGTTTGATCCTCCTCAGTACCGTCTTTAAGATGGATTTAAAATCTTAATCTGGAACTCGCCCTGAATCGGACTAGTCACGAAACGATGAACCGATTAGGATATGTTCATTTTTAATAACTCTTACTCTCATTTACTCATCTATCAAAACACAAACTAGTCGAACTTGCATAGGCCCAAAAGTAACTCTGGTTTTATACTAAAATGTGACTTGGGCCTACTTTGTTTTGAATATTTTGCAATGCGAAGACCAATGGAATAAAGTGGGCTAAATTGGCATCAGATTTCAAAAGGTGGGAAACCCTCTTCAAATGAAAAGAAAGAAAACTTTGGATCTGGATCCTCTCATATGAAAATTCATATGATCATGTCATGTGGAGAATCATAACCATACAAAGGTAGATATCAATAGTAATAAAAGAGGAGAGAAAAAAAATGTTAAAATAGGTAGTTAAAAAATTATAATCGTTGATTTACCTTTACCTGGTTGTGATCTTCTCAAATTACCATATCATATTTTTTTTCACGTAAGAGGGTCCATTTTTGAAAACTTTAGACTAATAGAGGTGGTTCAACGAAGACAGATAGGTAGGCACAATGGCGTGCGCGGTGGGGTAGCGGTGGTGACGGTTGTGCGGCGGCGGCGTCATGCAGCCCTGACAGAAGCGGCAATGGTGGTTAGCCACCACAGACAGATGACGAGGAAGCTAGTTGGTGGCTGCAGTTGATTTTTATGGATATTGTGGTGAGGAGTCTAACTTAGGTTCTTGTGCAAGAAAAAGAAGGAGAATAGAGATGAAGATGTTGGATAGGAGGGGAACACATCTTCTTCTTTTTTTGATAAAAATCTTTTCTTTTTATTCCACTTACATTTTTCCATTATAATTTTTCCCTTTCTGTCTTATTACCGAAACTCGAGCAGAGTATGGAATAAAAATGTTTGGGAACTTTGTTGTTCTATAGGTGCATTTATTTATAGATTTCCTATTACTGTTGGAGTGTAGAAATAAAACATGGTATATAAAAAGACTTGGCAACATGGTATTGAAGCTTGGAATCTGTATGTTCTTAATTAAATTATCATACCTCTATGTTGTTCTTTTCAAGTATCACCGGAGATGTTGAATGAGAGTAGAATTCTTTTCTTCTATTTCATACCCTTGAGTGATACGTCTTCGTTCTCTGTCCGAAAATCTCCTCTACTCTGTTTTTTCCGATGCCTTCTCATCTTTCCTTCGGTATCTCGATTTCAGCGTTACTTTTCCTTTCTACAAACTCTTCTGATCCTTCCTCTTTCTCCTCTGAACCTGTTCACGTGGCGGGGTTATCTGAAGATAATCAAATCGATTGACAAGGGTCTTCGATAGTCGGTGAATGATGAGTCAAGGGATGGAGGTGTCATGTTAATAAATGCTCGGTCATGGGTTGTTCATTAATGAAGAATATGGTGTAAAAATGAGAAAAAATGAGTAAAAATGAGAAAATTGTATATTATTTTTAATGTAGGTAAAGTTGTGTCATTTTAAATGAAAAAAAAATAAATAAAGAGAAGAGAGAATCGACAAAAAAATATAAAGATATGGATCCCATTCCTTGCGAGAGTGAAAAGATATAAGTTGTGTCATCTAATAGGATAAACATTTTTCTCAAAAATAAATAAAGGAAAAAATGTGTATCATTTTAAAGTATATAAAGTTGTGTTATTTTAAATGAAAGAAAGATAAATCATAAGAGAGAGTGGGGAGAAATTTTTTTAAAGATGTGAGTTTCATCTCTTTGTAAAAGTGAAAGAATATAAGATGTGTTATTTAAAATGACACATCTTTTTTCGTAAATAAAATAAAAATATGGTGTTTCTATTTTTGATTTTTTTGTTTACATTTAAAAATAAAAATAATATAATATAAAAAAATAGATTAAGAGACTAGATAAAATAAAAAAAATTACTGAATATTTTTTTTTATTTTAATAAAACTGTACATATTTTTAATAAAAAATGAAAATATATTCAATCAAATGAGGTGTTCAGACATACTAATAAAAAATGACTAGTCCTTTTTTCATGCCACTAGAAGAAGCTCCATCACAATTCAACTTAACCCACCCTTGCTTGGGGTCTGTCCAAACGCTATCGTTGGAATCACCACGGCCCTGATAAATTCGGGCTTGCAGAATCTGTTGGACAAACATCCAAATTGAAGCCTGTGATTGCTCATCATGGCAGAAATGATCTTCATGGATCTCCAAATTTCTCCACTTCCACAAAAATCAACAAGTAGTAAAGAAAATATCCCTCCAGTCCTTCACTTTATTGGAGGACCACATGTTATCGATATTTAAAGTCAACCAATCCTGCAAATTCGAATTCATAAAGGAATTGGGAAGCTTCCTTTTTGGGAGTGTGGCATGAAAAAAGCTAGTTGTGGTGGTATATTAAGAGATCACAATGGATCCTTTTTGGGAAGCTTCTATTGTAATTTAAGTTCCTGCAATCCTCTTGATGCATAATTATGGGGATTACTGAAAGGTTTGGAACTGCTTTGGGGAACAGGATTAAAAAGAATAGAACTAGAATGTGATTCTAGCCAAGCCATCCAAATGTTAAAGGAGCAGCATGAAGATCCTAGGGACTCTCAAGTCACTAGCAGATTGAGATTATGGTTAAAAGCAGATTGGACTATTCATCTTGTTCATACCAAGAGAGAAAACAACAAATGTGCTCATTGGTTAGCTAAAGTTGGGCAGACTAATAATCTCCATTTCAAGATTTTTAAAGATCCTCCTCCTCAGTTGATGGAACTTATAGTTGCTGATGCTAGAAATATGTCTAGCTTGTTAGTTTCTGATTTGTAATTTCTTTCTGTTTCTGGGGCTTAGCCCCTCTTTATTTACAAAAAAAAAAAAATGACTAGTCCGGATCCATATAAAATTCTGCAAGGCCTCTAGTTTGATTGCGAAGTGAAGGTAGTCTTTTTTCTATAGCAATGTTATTAAAACCGGCTCGGTCATTGATCTAGTCGAGGTACTGAGTCACTGGTTCAATCGCATGATTCGATAATTATATGCAATTTTATAATTTATATTAAAAAATTATAAACATACTCAAATATCTAAACCAAAATGACAAAAAAATCCAAATATTTTAATATAAAAAATAATAAATCATATATTATTGTACAATAAAGGATCAAACAAAAATATAATGATCGTGATATGAGATTTTAGGTTCAGAAAATGACATCTCTAACTATAAATCAAATCAAAATTTTCTGCATAGTGCATAATTAAGATAATATTAGTGTTGTAGGTACATAACTTATGTAAGTCAATAAGCAAAAAATATATTTAAATATGTCTATTATGATTTTTTTTTTGAAAAAAAAAATTGGAATTTTTTTTTAGGACCCAGCCGGGTCACCGGTTTTCATGAAAACTGGCCGGCTCGCACCGAGTCGCACGGTTCTGATGCATGGACGGTCCGTTGTTTGAACCGAACCGGTTATATGACCGGTTTACCGGTTCCCGGGTCGACTCGGCCGGGTCGGTTCGGTTCTAATAACACTGGTCTGTAGTGAGTGATTAATTTAGTAGAAATTTTTAGATCTACGTACTGTTGTTGAGAAGTCATTTATAATTCTTACTGATCCATTTAGGAAGTGATATGGAATAATATTATACAAAAGACAAGGTCCAAACTAAAAGTTTTTATTATTAAGAAAGTTCATAGTCAATGAAAGTAGCAAAGTCCATCTCATCAAGCTGCACAATATTAAAAGCTTATGACAGCAAAGACTCCTCAATAACATCAAGTTCCTCAACCTTAAAAGCTACATGATAGCAAGTTTTTCAACATTAAAAACTTTATCTCCTTGAATACTTCATCTCTAAGTATGCCTCACCACTTGCAAAACTGGTCATCCCCCAAGCTGCTCATCTCTCCACTATAAATCAGTGTTTTAAAACCCCACCCCACCCCCCGGGTCAACCCTGACCCCTCTCCTCTAAGGGTTCGAGTCTCAAGTTGGACCCTATATGCACATCAACCCCTCCGACCCCCAAAACCCCCCCGGATTTCAGTGACTCCCGGGTCAGAGGAGTCAAAGGGGGTCATTGCGTATTTTTTTTTTAAAAGAAAATTGCTTAAAACAACGTCGTTTTTTACAACAACAAAAAAATCTTTGAAACCTAAATCTATCGTTCTCTGATTCTCTTCTCTCCCAGCCAGACGGATAGTCGTCTTCATCCTTCACTCACCGTTGTGAATCGCTCAAGTCAAGGACGTGGGGATAAAGGAAAGAGGTAAACTACGAAATCCATTTTACAGAATCGCTGTTGCTTAAAACTATGAATCGTTGTTCCTCTTCCCTTTGTACTTCGGTTAATGCTGTTCCTTTTTTATAGTGATAACATTTTTGATAGGCATCAAGCAGCAACTAATTAATTAATTGGCACAAAGTAAGTAGTTGTTAAATCTCAAATTTTTATTTTTTTGTGGGGATTTTTTATTATAAATTTTCATTCCAATGTGGAGGGGTTATTTTAGATATAAAAATTCCAGCACCTTTAACTATTTGTTTCTCTACTTAGTTACATGACTTAATTGAGATATTCTCAAGCCGTGGATTGTATTAATCAGAAGGGATTTTGTGTTCATGCAGGAAACAAAAACAGAGATCACAAACTGTCACCGCTTAAGTTGTACCTGTTGTTGCCTTTGTTGGGTTGCTGATCTTTATTTGCATTTATTTAAGAGTCAGGAAGTCGACTAAACATTTTGAGAGTAAGTCCAGATGTTTATTCATTGCTTTAGTATAGAAAAGAAAAAATTAAATAAACCTATAAGCCCACTTGTCCTCTGTTTTATTCTGTTAAGCATCACGTAGCAAGTCTTTGGACAACCATGGAATGATGAGAATGCAGCATATATGAATGTAATTGTAATATAACTTTTAGGAATTAAATTAAAAATAAAATATGTGACCAGCCAAGGCTATGTCTTTCCATCGTGCCTGTATAACTGTTTATGTTATTGATGATTTGATGTGGATTAATTTTCAGCAAGATGTCATCTAATGAACTTAATTCAACACCAACTGAAGATGTGTCGTCCCAAAATTCCTCCAAACCAAATTGTAGGGGAAAGCAAGATCCAAGTTGGGGTCATTGTAGACAGGTTATGGAGAATGGAAAAACTTTTTTAGTATGCCAGTATTGTAACAAGACTCTTAAAGGAGGTGGTATTAATCGGTTAAAGAATCATTTGGCGGGAGAAAAAGGACATGTTGAGCCATGCAAGAGTGTGCCACCTGAGGTGCGGGCTGAAATGAAAAAAAATTTAGATGAAGGTAAACAGAAAAAAAGAAAAGTCATACATGAAGAAGAAAGTGAAACTATTGAGCTTGGTGACCAAATAACACCTCCTGAAAAAAGTTGTCCACCTTCCAACTCTGAAAAAGGGAAGAATCCCATAGGTTCTTATTTTCTTCAAAGAACAACTCCTGGATCTCAACCCACCGTAAAAAGCGTGTTACAGAGTAAAGAAGTGATTTGGAGAGCTCACAAATCTATATCAAAATGGATGATTATTTCTTCACTCCCATTTAATGCTGCCAACAATCCTTCTTTTCAAGAAATGTTTGATGCTGTGTGTAGTTTGGGTGCAGGTTTTAAAGCTCCATCAATGTATATGTTGCGTGGTCCATTGCTAGATAGTTGGGTTGATGATGTTCATAGTCTTGTTGAGAACTACCGTAATGTTTGGCGGCAAACTGGATGCACCATTATGGCTGATGGTTGGACTGATCGGACTAGGCGAACTCTTATCAACTTTCTTGTTTATTGTCCTAAAGGAACTGTTTTCTTGAAGTCTGTGGATGCCTCTCATGCTTCCAAAACTGCTGATTTGTTATTTAATCTGTTCAAAGAAATTGTTCTATTTGTTGGGCCTGAAAATGTTGTTCAATTTGTGACTGATAATGCTTCTAATTATGTTGCTGCTGGAAGGTTATTGGAGGCTGAGTTTCCCACAATATTTTGGTCTCCCTGTGCTGCTCATTGTATTAATCTGATGTTGCAAGATATTGGCAAGTTAGAGGAAGTGGGTGCAACCGTGGCACATGCTTCATCAATTACCAAGTACGTATATAACCATTGTCATCCTTTACACTTGATGAGAAAATTCACAGGTGGTAGAGAAATTCTTCGTCCAGCTCCAACTCGCTTTGCTACTAATTTTATTGCTTTGCAAAGCATATTAGCTCAAAAAGATCCATTAAGAGCAATGGTAACTTCAAGAGAGTGGACAAGTTCAGCATATTCTAAGGATTTGAAGGCTAGAAAATTTGTGGATTTAGTCTTAGATTCTAGGTTTTGGAAAGAATGTGCTGACATTGTGAAAGTTACTGAACCACTTATACGCTTGTTGCGTCTTGTTGATAGTGAAGACAAGCCTTCTATGGGTTATCTTTATCAAGCCTTTTTTAAAGCAAGAGAAGAGATGGTTAGACGGTTTCAAAGAAAGAAAAAGAAGGCGGAGCCGTACTTGAACATCCTGGATAGTCGGTGGGATACTCAGCTTCGTAAAAAGTTGCATGCTGCGGGATATTGGTTAAATCCAGCATGTCATTTCAATGTTGAAGAATTCAATAAACATGCATTGACAACTTCTGGTCTTTTAGATGTTATAGAGAGGTATGCTCATAAGGATGAGGAATTATTGTCCAAGTTAACATCTGAGCTGAGAAATTTCAATGAATCTGATGGTGATTTTGGAAGGAACATAGCTATTCGGGAACGAACTAAAGTTATGCCTGGTAAAATAATTTATGATTAGTATGTACCTTTAATTCTTGTTATAGTTGAATGATTGAATACTAATATATTTTATTGCTTACAATGTTTCAGATAAATGGTGGGAACTTTATGGTTTTGGTGCACCAAACTTGAGAAAATTGGCTATTCGTATCTTAAGCCAAACTTGTAGTGCTTCCGGTTGTGAGCGAAATTGGAGTGCATTTGAGCAGATCCATTCAAATAGGAGAAATCGGTTAGAGCATAAAAGGTTGAATGATCTTGTATATGTTCGATACAACCTAAGACTACAACAAAGGTATTCTAATTTATACGTACATATTTCCAAAAATTTGTTTATTTTCTTTTAGACAAATATATGTTTATATTTGTTGATGTTGAATATTGGAAAAAATAGGAATCAATTGAAGCACCAAAATTATGACCCAATTAATTTGGAAACAATGGATGATCATTCTACTAGTTGGGTTTTTGAGGAGTCACCACCATTATTAACCGATGAAGAGGCAAGATATTTGAGGAATAATACCATTGAACCAATTGTAGATGGTATTGGTATGTTTCTTTATGATAATTCTATTGTTTAATTTGATGATTTGATCACGTTATATTATTTATTGACTTGCATATAATATGTTATTGTAGATGAATTGAATTTAGATGAGGATGATGTAGATGATGAACCTCATATGACTATTGTACCCCAAAATGAAAGCAATGTTCTTCAAGGTTTGGATGGCAATGGTGGAGAAAGACAAGGAGAGCCTGAATTTGATGATATTACTTTTAATTAACTCCATTAGAATATGAGTTTTGTACTTTGGTATATTGATACTTTAATTAGGTTGTGTAATATTGACTTATGGTTGTAATTGGTGAATTATGTTAACTATATTTTGAATCTTTGATGATTGGTGGTTTATTTTTTAATATTTTCATATATGATATATGTATTTATATTTTTTTAACATACAAAATCGGGTCAGCGCAGTGACCCCGTGACCCCCCGGTTGAACCCGTGACCCCATGACCCCTGACCTCGGCCGGGTCGATGGCCGGGCCGGGTTTTTAAACACTGCTATAAATACATACCTATTAACACAAAGGTACACATCTTTTTCTACATAATAAAACCTGTTTGAACCAAAACTGACTTTAGCGTTAGAGTGTCTTGCAAGTACACCCCATCTCGTTCCATTGAAGACCCATGGATTAAAGCTGCTCAACTGTAAGATGCTTTGACCCAAGGCGGTTCTAGGCCCTTTGTGTAGAGAAAGATCACATGGTCAGCCCAGTTGCAAAACCGGTTCTGATCAGGAAGATTGGACAAATTTTTTCATAGTTAATCTTTTGGTGGAGATCAACTTGATGATACTTTTAAACACAAATATCTATTTCTTGAAAATATTATAAGTGTTGAGCAACATTGATACTGTTTCAAGGATATTTGCATCTTCTGAATATAAGAGTATTTTATGAGATTTTTTATTTTTGAGAAAGGGGTAAGGAAGACTGTAGCATAATTGACTGGGTATTTTCATTGTTTGTGTTGTTATCCATGATTTGATAAGTTCATCTCTTACGCACTTCATATAATATTATTATTATCTTTACTCTCTCTGAAAGAAACTTAAAGAATTTCCTTAAGACGGCCTTCAGCAGACAGGGAGCCTGTTATCGGGAACGACATAATATTATGCTCTGATGATATCAAGTGAAATAAAATTATAAATAAAATCTCAATATTTTTATTCATATGAATATAACAGTAAATCATCAAAATCCAGACTAAAATTATAATTGATCCCTCTATGTATTACATCACTCTATCATGTTTCTAAAGAAAAGTAGTGAATCCGCATCCCTCAATATTGGACGATCATTTATTTGTACATTTCATTTATCATTTATCACTGGTCTTTTGTAAATTAAGGACTTATATGAACTTTAGTCCATTCATATGGTTTCATAACTTTTGATTTGAAATGTTTATATATGCGTCATGTTGCTCCCTTTTGTATATATAGTTTTCAAATTATTAATTTCCTATCTGTGTTTTTGTTTCCTCTATACCACATATTTATATTTTAAGTGCAATTAGAAAGTGTATATGTCCATTTTGATCATTAAAAGATAATGCGACATCACATCAGTCGTCCGTTTATAATTACATCAAATTGGTCTTCCAAAGATAGGTAACATTAAATTTGTTCTTTAATGTCATGTTTTTCCTATCAAATTGGTCTTCGAAGGACATAAATGATGGCATTAATTATCATTGAGGGGCCAATTTGATGTCACTGATAAACAGGGACTAATGAGATGTCATGTATATCTCTAGGATCAAAATAAGTGTTTACTCCTATTAAAAGTGTATTTAAGAGCCACTCTTTTTGGGCTAGTGATAAGGACTTTAGTTAGTTTGCAAGAGGTTAAAAATTCAAATTTTCATGAGATTATTAAAGTCGGCAAAAATAAGCCAATTTATCGGATTGACTCATAATTCATAAAAAATGAGTTAGATTGGGTTAGCAAAAATAAGCTCTCAATCCGAGCCAACTCGACCCGAGCCAGTTCAAAAAAAAAACGAGCCAACCCGCGGATTAAACGGACTAGTTCGCAGGTTGAGTTCTATTTTTTTATATATATAAAAAACACAAAATATAATATAAAAACTGGACAAAATCCACACAGGATGTTATCGTCTTCTTCTCTAAACCTAAGTCCCTAATCTTCTCCCATGTCATTTTTATATTGTTAGGCTGTGAAGGTTATGTTTGGTTCAAATATCTTACCCACTTGATAGCAAGTGGTTCTAATTGTTTCTCGATGTTGGTGCAAATTTGTTGTGAAGAAAATTCGAAATTAGAACATTTTGTATTTACTTCTTATTTTGTAACCATTTGTTTAAGCTGATGGAAGCGTGCAATAATACTATATATTCATCTAAATAGGATGAAAATGAGTCAATCCGCTAGCAACTTTCGAACCAACTCGCGAGCTATTTTTTCAAGCCAACCCACGAGCCATATTTTTGAGCCAACTCGCGAGCCAACCTTAATCCGACTCAGGTCGGATTGGGTTTTCTGACTCGTTTTATTTTTCTAACTAACCCTAACCCAGCTTATTTTTTTAGGGTTGGCCATTTTGGCAACCCTAAACATTATTGTAACAAAAAGATCAAAAGTATTTATAGAAATAATTTTGTGCAGGGGGTGCATAGAAACTTCTGGTCTGGGAAGGGGTATTAGATAAACAACTTTTATGATAAAATGTAAATAACTAAAGGCATGTAGATAAAATAAGCATTAAGTGAGATGGGTAATTCCATAGTTATTAAAATCGGACCGACATGGTCGGGTCGACTCGGGAACCGGTCTGGTTGAAGCAACAGACTGGCCATGCATCAGAATTGGTGCGACCCGATCCGACCCGATCGTTTTTCATAAAAAGCGACGAACTGGTCAGTTAACCAGTGACCCGGCCCGGTCCAAATTTTTTTTTCCAAATTTTTGTTTTTTTCAAAAAAATCATAATAGCCATATTTGAATATTTTTTTGCTTATTGACTTACATAAGTTATGTACCTACAACACTAATATTATCTCAATTATGTACTATACATAAAATTTTGAAGTAATTTATAGTTAGAGATGTCATTTTCTGAACCTAAAGCCCCGTATCACGATCATTATATTTTTGTTTGATTTTTTATTTGATAATAATATGTGATTTATTATTTTTTGTATTAAAATATTTGAAATTTTTATCATTTTTTTTAGATATTTGAGTATTTTATAATTTTTTAATATAAATTATAAAATTACATATAATTATCGGGTCATGTGGTTGAACCAGTCATCCACTGGTTGAACTAGTGACACAGTGACCCAGTACCTCGACCGGGTTAATAACCGGGCCGACTGGGTAAGTCAATATGGTTTTTTGTGTCCTGGGACGCAAGGGTGGCTTAGCAATTCGTAGAAATAATGGCCAGGTATCAAACTTGGGAGGAAAATATGTAGGCTTATGATAGGGATCATCAATATAATTCCAGAAACAACTCTGTATATTAACAGAATCAACATTACAATGCTCAGCAGTAGGGGTGCTAAACAAGCCAGGGGCCTTTGGCTCGGCTCGGCTCGTGAAGGCCTGAGCTTTTATGTTTAAAATTGATTGTTGGAACCAGGCTTGGACTTGTATAAAAGCTCGTTTAATAAAAAGGTCTCAGGCTCAAATTTAAAAGTTCGGCCTTAGAGTCTCTCAGGCTGGCCTGATATATTAATTTTTATTTTTATTTTATATTTTTTATACTACTTGTGATAGCCTTCTCTCTCTCTTCAATTCATTTCATCTCATTTTATTAATTAAACAGACTTTTTGAATGATTTTATTTTATATTATGTTGTTTGGATATACATTAAATTTATAAATATTTATGAAATTACTAGTGCTGTTGACTGTATATTTTGTTTGGATAAATTTTTGTTGTCTTATTTTGTTTTAAACAGGCTAACATGCTTTTAATATTTGTAAATAAGACAGGCCACAGGCTGAAATTATATTCATAACAGGTAACAGGCTTGGTCAGGCTGACACATTTAAACACAGGCCTAACCTTTTAAGACCAAAGCTCGGCTCGGCTCGGCCGGTTAACACCCCTACTCAGCAACAATGACAATTATAGAAAATATGTATTCCTACGCAAGTACATTAATGCAAAAGAAAAGACAATTACAGTAGGGCGTGTTTGGTTTAGGAGAAATTTTTTGAATACTATGAAAATGTAATTGATAGGAGAATGGTTGGAAAGTGAGTTTGGTAGTAAAGTTAAAAAAAAATTGTTTGGTTGGTCAAAATTTTACCAGAAAAATTGAGTTAAATTTTGAATTTGTGAGTCTTTATTTGGTTGAAGGTGGAATAATGATGGGTAAATATGTTAAAATACCAAAAATAACCCTGATTTAATTTTTGAATCCGATGATGGGTTAAAACAACAACAGTACTGCTCCTCTACCAGTCGCCTGTAACTCACATCGGACGGACTTCACACTGGCAACTTCTCTGTTTAGGGGTTGTTCTGTTCACGACAGTGTTCTTCAAGTAGCTACGCGGAAGAAGTGTGCTACCAAATACATGGTCACTTGTCAGTTTACTTGACATACAAAAGGGTAAAGCAGATCTTGTCAACTCAGTTTTTTATTATCATAACATAAAGGAATCATCGAGTCAGATTTCACCACTGCAATTAAACTTTGAATGAAAACCAAGTTGAGTTTTGTTACCTCACCTCCCACCATAATGATTGAAGCAGATCTTCAGTTACGCTTGTGATGTCGTCGCCGAGTGTCAGTAATCGAGGGTTAGTATTCGAAGTTTCAGAATTGTAACCGAGGGTAATACGGTAACGTATTCCTTCACCTTTTTGAGGTTGCTCAGCCTTTTCTAGAAATACCACTCTTACATTGGTCATTTGCTACAGTGATTTCCCAACCTTTTTGCACATGATTGTGGAAGGATGGGGAAAGGACAAGCCTAGCACAATTTTTCGATTCTATCTACCAAACAAGGGAATCATTGAAAGCCAATTTCATTTAGATGGGGAACCAAATAAAAAGCTTGAACCAAACGCCCAAGGAAACTAGAAAATAACAGTGATAGTTCTAGAGCATTTGAGAAGCTCTAATCTCTCCCAAATCATTTAAGAGGTGTCCAAAAGTCCAAAGTCCAAAAAATACTTCCATCCTCCTTGCTTATTTATACTAATTCTTTCACTTCATTTCAGTATTGCTTCTCACCTCTGACAATAATAAAATTGTCTTCCACTCATATTTGATTCTAACTAACTTGCTTGCTGACTCAGCTTTCTCTAGATACCTTAAAGGTGGTATCCTATCAGCTTACCCCTGAGATATTAGGATTCTGGGGCAAAGTTCTGAACCTCCTATCTGAACCAAGTTGATTTACATTGAGAGAAGAAAGTTTTCAGTTCAGTGACTTCAGTCCATTTTAGGGACATATGCTTGCATCAATACAAATACTATTGCTGATGAGAGTATGCTGTGTTTGGCAACAAATTCCTGAACTATCTGTTAAGAGTACTGGTGTAGATCTTGTTAGAGGCCAAAAGAAAATCACTTTGAGATGTTCATTTGCAGCACGGTGGTGGGCTGTTATTCCTTCTGCATTGATATTGGAATGAATTGCAAGTGTGAAAAGGAAGCACCTTCCTACCTTTCAAGCTGTGGAAAATAACCAGATGAGACATATAAGGGCCATGGGATGAGTATCTCTTTTTCGACTGTGTTTTTGGATTCTTATATAATCTCAAAACACGTTTTGTTTTTCAAAATGTTTCAGATAAGATACTTTAAACCTTTTCAAACCTGCATTTAGCCCCTTGAAAAGTCACCTTGTGATTTTATTTACCATAAAATGGTAACAGAAGGCAAATTGGTGTCATTTGACTCCTGTATTCATTTATTTTTGGCAGAATATTTTGTAATAAAGTATGCACTGAATTTTTTGTATATCTTTTATTTATAATATAATATGTGTTTTATTCTTTTGTCAAATTATTAATAAATAATGTATTTTAAAATTAGACGAGAGAATAATTTAGTAAAGAATAAGACAGTATCCGTAATACTAAATTTTTTTCTATTTTTGGGAAGATTAATTACACAGTGGTCCACGAAATTTTGTTTAGAGTAAATATCTTTTTCGGTTTTTGGCAAATTTTATTATGCTCACTTTATTCCATAGCAAATAAAAAATCTATTTGTGGTCCCTAAAAAGTTCAAAATGGATCCATTTTAGTCCTTTTGAGGAATTAATGTGGGTTTTTTTTAAATTTGTGAGGATCACGATTTCAACTAAATGCATCCATTTTAAATTTCTTAAAGACCACGAATAACCTTTTTATTTGCTAGAGACTAAAGCGGATACGGAGAAATTTGTAAGGACCGAAAATGATATTTAATCTTTTTTTATTATGATTTTTGTTTTTATATTATTTTCATTTTTATTTATTTTTGAAAATACTAAGTCTGCGGTTATTGGAGAAGGTAGTTGCGGGAAGTACATGGATTCCATCCTTTTGGCGTAGCTTTCTTGATGGATCAAAGATTCAAAGTATTGGTTATGTCTCAAGCAAGAAAGAAAGAGAAAATTTTGGCTTTTGCTCTCGGTGACGTGTCTCAGGTTCTCACTCCATACCTTCCTTCCACTTTCTTCTTTTTTCTTTGTTCTCCTCAACTCAACCCTGAAAACGAAAGTTACAAAAACAAAAGAAAAGAAAAAAAACGTTTTTTTTTTCTTACTCTTTGACGAAACCCCGTGATCTTCGCCATAATTCTAATATTCCTGTTCTATTAACAATCACAACCTCAAATCGTTAGTTCATTTTTTTGGCGGCGAAACACTGAAACAAAATCAAGAACCTTCTCTGAAACGATGCAAGTTTCATCCTCATCGATGAACTCATGGTTCGGAACATTTGCTTCCAACCGAAACCGACATGTTCGTTCGTTCCCATCCGAACCTTGTTCTAGTACTACCACCGCGGTCGCTGCTGCTGCTGCTCCTGCTGTTACCTCGTACTCACCTTGTACCACCGTTTTGTTCGCGCGTGCTGATCCATCACGGTGCAAGGTTGATAATTCACTCTCGTTTTTGGTGTCTCAGAGAAAAGGTTTTGCTTTTACATCGCTGGCACCGATCGGTGGAAGAAAGATGAGGAGGAGAAGAGTGTTCACTGTCTCTGCAGTGTTCGAGCGGTTCACGGAGAGAGCAATCAAGGCTATAGTGTTGTCCCAAAGGGAAGCCAAAGCTCTTGGAAGTGAATTGGTTTACACGCAGCATCTTTTGCTGGGTCTTATAGCTGAAGAGGATCGTTCTCCTGATGGTTTCCTTGCATCTGGTGTCACCATTGATAAGGCACGAGACACTGTTCACAGCATTTGGCATCGAAATGATTCAAGCTCTGATACCCCAATTGGTGGTGTTGATGATGATAATAAAGCTAGTTCTGTTTCTGCCACACATGTCCCCTTTTCAATTAGTGCAAAGCGAGTTTTTGAGGCAGCTGTTGAGTATTCCAGGTCTTTGGGGCATAAATTCATTGCCCCTGAGCACATTTTAGTTTCTTTAGTCAAAGTGGATGATGGTAGTGCTAGTCGGGTCCTTTACAGGTACTGCATCATATCTCTCTCTCTCTCTCTCTTTTTGGTTGTCTGTCTTGTTAGTTGTTATGTGGCTGAATCTTTGTTAGCAATGATAGTCTCCCTTGGAATGTTGCCATTTGACATTTGGGCTGATCAGTGGTGGTTCATTACTATGAATATGTTTGTTTGTTTCCCCCAATTCATTTTAGTTTATTATTGATAATGATTTTGGAAGAGGGTGAGCTTGGAAAGGTTGCTCCTTTTGTGACCGAAAAGTTACATATTCAAATTTGGAAATAGTGTCTTTGCAAAAAATGTAAGGGCAAGCCTACTTATAGTTGATTCTCACCCCTATCCTTGCAAAATTGGGTTGTACACTGGGATTTTCCCTTTTATTGATAATGATTTTGAAGTCATTACAAAGGATTCTTAGAAGCAAAACATAGTTTTTTTTTATGAAAATCCAAACTCTTTTATGAAAATCCAAACTCAGATAAGCTGTGGCTGAGACTTGCTATTGCGAATTGGATTATGGAGTGTAACCAGGCAACATGATATTTCATGGCATATAAATGATCTTTGATTGTTTCTCAAGCCAAAATGCTTTCACAGTCCCACTGGTTGAACAACACCGGGAATCTTGTGCTGAACAGCTAAATTGAAAATTGATGCGTTATCTAAATACCAAGTTGTAAACCGGTTTAAACTCCTCCTTTTTAAGCCCCATTCGTAGCTTGAAATCATTCAGTAGAATTGGTTTTTAAGAAATTTTACGTTTCTTACAAGTTTTTTGAAAATGCATGAATTTTTTAAGACTCTATAAAAATTTGCTTAACCAGGAAACTCCAATTTTTGTTTTTGTTTTATGATGATAATGGACTGGAGTTGTCACTGCTGCTAATGATTCTACAATTGAATATGTGCAGGGTGTATGATTAAAATTTAAAAATATATAACCATAATTTTCCATTAATGTTGCTAGTATACAAATATGATTTCAGACTGGGGACAAATGCAAACCAGTTGGCAGCTGTGGCATTCTCCAGACTACAAAGGGAGCTTGCTAAAGATGGTAGAGAACCAAACATGGTGTCCAAGGGACTGTCTATTTCAAGAAAAGGTTTTGCTGCAGGATCCTCGACCACAACAAATGGTAAGAAAATAATTTATAAGTTTGTTGTTTAATACTTTTATGTCTGAAGGCAGAGAAGAGTTTTTCGTAATCATTCTCTGGTTTTCAGAGACGAGTGCTCTGTCACAATTCTGTGCGGATCTCACTGCTCGTGCGAGTGAAGGACTAATTGATCCAGTTATTGGCCGAGAAGTTGAAGTTCAGAGAATTATTCAAATACTATGCCGAAAAACAAAAAGCAATCCCATTCTTCTGGGTGAAAGTGGCGTTGGAAAAACAGCTATTGCTGAGGGGCTGGCAATTCGTATTGCTCGGGCAGATGTGACTCCTTTTTTATTGGTATGTTTCTCAATAAGTGAGATATGTTTCTAAAGTTTTTCTTTTCTGCTCCACCCTTGTGTAATTGAGCGTGTTTTAAATAATATATATAATATCTATCTAATTTAAATGCATTGCAATTTTACTTTCTGCTTTGTGTTTCTGCAGACAAAGCGTGTCATGTCATTGGATGTAGCACTATTAATGGCTGGGGCAAAAGAGAGAGGAGAGCTAGAGGAACGTGTTACAAAATTAATAAAAGAAATAATAAAGTCAGGTAAATATATTTTAACAAAAAAATGAAAAGAAGTTAGGTGAATACATGCTTGGAGTTTCACGCTAAAAGAGGATTGGTTTAGCTCATTGATTTTCTTGAAATGCAGGTGATGTCATTCTTTTCATCGATGAAGTTCATACACTTGTTCAATTAGGGACAATTGGGAGAGGAAATAAGGGATCTGGCCTTGACATTGCTAATTTACTTAAACCTGCACTTGGAAGGGGTCAATTTCAGGTGATTATTTGTCATGTATTTGCGTTCGCTAGTTTCCTCTGTTCTAAGTGATTCTTGAAGATGAACACATTTTCACTTTGAAGCCTGATTTAAACAATTGCTAATTACATATAAATTTAGGGTTAGAGATCAAAATATATGCTTACTACTTAGTCCTTATGACACAGCCGAAGGTGTCGTTACCACATTCTTGTAGTAATCATGCTGAACAAGGTTGGCAATTAACACCTGGAAAGTGCAATACAAGGTTGAGATTAGTTAGAAAGGTGTCTTATGAAAATCTGGGAGGCTGACATACTTGTAGTTAGACTCATAGCTTGGCTCAAACTTTCTCTCAAAATGGTGGGCATCCAAGGTCATGTAGAGCTGGAAGAGGTATGAGTGTTAACTGGTAAATATCTTGCTTTTCAGCAAGTTATGGAACCAAAAGGGTACATGGTACTACTAGAGATATTCTTTTGTCAACGGGGGCAACCTGTTACTGAAACGAGGGCAATGTTGTATGTTCAGTGTTTTTGGGTCCTGGTATTTTTTTATACTAGGTGCACTGAGGTTAATCAATATGAACTTCTTGAAGGAGTGATTTGTGCATCGTTTAATGGACTAACAGGTAACTGGAATGTCAAAAATATGGTAGTAGTTAAGGACTTAAGGCTATGATTACTGGTATTAGTTATATTCAATAACGTTAAGGCTATGTTGAGAGCTAGGGACAGGGCTGCTGCTTTGCTTGGTTGATAAGTAATTATGTTTGATAATGTTATTTTTTCTGTTAATGCTTTTCTGCTATTGGGGTTTTCATTTTTTTCTTTTTCTTTGGGAGGGGTTCAACAGGGAGTGGTTTCTTTGGGAGGGGTTCATGGTGAGGACTGAGGAGAGAGCAGTTCTGAATTTAAACTCTTTGGCCGAAGCAACTGTGAAGATAAAATAATTCTGCCTTCTAATGAATTTTTCTTTGTAATTGGCTATTGATTTTAAAGTGCATTTGGAATGTGCTTAAAGTAATCATTTTTGTATAAGATGGAATCATCCTTTTTTTCCTTTGCAAATACTATATTTTCACCCCATAACTTGTCTGCTATTCATAGTGCAACAATTTTATCTTCTTTGCAGTGTATTGCGTCTACCACCATATATGAATACAGGATTCATTTCGAAAAAGATAAGGCATTGGCACGGCGGTTTCAACCTGTTTGGGTTGATGAGCCGAGTGAGGTTGCATCCCATATTCATGTCTATATCTTTCTAAGTTAGCATTTTAATCATAATTTGATTCCTTATCCGACTATATGTGTTAATATCTAGGATGATGCGGTTAAGATACTTATGGGTCTCCGTGAGAAATATGAGGCATACCACAAATGCAGATATACAGAAGATGCCATAAAGGCTGCAGTTCATTTGTCAGCAAGATACATAGTTGATAGGTATCTACCTGATAAAGCTATTGACCTCATAGATGAAGCAGGAAGTAGAGCTCGTATTGAAGCCTTTAAGATGAAAAAGGAACAAGAAACATGCATACTTTCTAAATGCCCAGCTGATTACTGGCAAGAAATTAAAACTGTTCAGTCCATGCACGAAATGGTAATGGCATTGCTTATTGCTTTCTACTGTTGTCTGTATGAGTTGCTCATAGTTTTAGTTTATAATGACATTTCTTGCCCACTGGTTCAGGAGAGCAAGCTGAAATACTATGGAGCTTCTAGCATTGATGATACTAGTGAACTCATTCTGGACTCATATTTGTCTTCTGAAGCCAATGATAATGAGTATGTTAGTTGACCCCAAAAGCAGAAGGTTTTCATTTGTATGTATCTAGGTTTGACTTCTGAGTGGCTGACATTATTTTTCTTTTTAGACCTATAGTAGTTGGGCCAGATGATATAGCAGCAGTTGCTTCCCTCTGGTCAGGAATTCCAGTTCAGCAGCTCACTGCCGATCAAAGAATGCTTCTGTTAGATCTTGATAATCAACTTCGGAAACGTGTCATTGGACAAGAGGAGGCTGTTTCTGCCATTTCTAGAGCTGTGAAGAGATCCCGTGTTGGCCTTAAGGATCCCGATAGACCCATAGCTGCAATGCTATTCTGTGGTCCAACTGGGGTTGGGAAAACTGAACTTGCAAAATCTTTGGCGGCATGCTACTTTGGATCGGTAAGACTTCACACAGAGTATATGTTTTAGCATTAATACTTAGAAAACATTCTTTACTGTTGTTTTTTTCTTTTTCTTTTTGATGGTCTGCAGCGATTACATTGTGGTCAATACATTTCACTTTTATTGTTCATCTGTTTATATTTAGCCTTTTATATTTTATTTCAGGAGGCAGCCATGATACGGTTGGACATGAGTGAATATATGGAACGGCATACAGTGAGTAAATTGATCGGATCACCCCCAGGTTATGTTGGTTATGGAGAGGGTGGCATTTTAACCGAAGCTATTAGAAGAAAACCCTTCACACTGTTATTGCTTGATGAAATAGAGAAAGCTCATCCAGATATATTCAACATTCTTCTTCAATTGATAGAAGATGGTCAACTTACTGATTCTCAGGTTTGTGAATGCTGATGTGAACCCTAATTTACTAGGACTGTCAACAAGCTTTCAGATGCGAAGCCTTTTCCGTGAATTTCCATTTCTTCCTTTTCTGCTTCTTTACCAAGTCAAAGTGTATTCTTGTTTAAATATAGTGTGGACTTTATACTAATAGCTCCCTAAATTTTCTGTTTATTGTTTGTAAAACTGGCTCTAATAGGGTCGGAAAGTTTCATTTAAAAATGCATTGGTGGTGATGACATCAAATGTGGGATCTAGTGCCATTGCTAAGGGTCGACACAACTCCATAGGTTTCTTGATTCCAGATGACAAATCAACATCATATAATGGCTTGAAATCGATGGTAATTGAAGAATTGAGGACATATTTTCGTCCAGAATTGCTCAACAGGATAGATGAAGTGGTAGTGTTTCAACCCCTTGAAAAGTCACAGGTTCGTTAAGTTTTGGTTATGATTTAGCTCATTGATGATAATCGCTTGGGAGGCTCTTAGTATCGTATTGAGTCATTTTCGTGTGGCAATTATTTAATTTTCTTTACAGAAACTGTTTTAAGCATCCCAAGCATCTTTAGTACCACTAATCTATCTACACTTTGAGAAACTTGATTATGACTTAGACAAGTAGGCTAGGATTAGAGGATCTTATAGTAAAATGTTTTACTAAGATTTTAAAGTAATCTGTTTATTCATTTTATTAAGGGTTAGTTTTTTTTAAAGTTACTTTAGACAACTTTGTCTAATATTCACCAAAACAATGTCGTTTTGGGGCGGAAATTATGTTATATTTGTAATTTTAATTTATTTCAGAATTATAATAATCTTTATCATTCTAATTTTTTAATTTTTCAATCCCAAAACGACGTGGTTTCGGTGAATATTAGACAAAATTGTCTAAAGTATCATTATATACTTTTTTCCCTTTTATTAATGTTATTATGTTTGTTACAGTTGCTCAAGATATTGGATGTGCTGCTGAAAGACATAAAGAAAAGGGTCTTGTCCCTAAGAGTCAATTTAGAGGTGTCTGAATCAGTCAAGAACCTTGTCTGCCAGCAAGGTTATAACCCAACATATGGTGCTCGTCCTCTCAGGAGGGCCATTACATCACTAATTGAAGACCCATTGAGTGAAGCATTCCTTTCAGGAGAGTGCAAGCAAGGTGACACTGTCCTCATTGATTTGGATGCTAATGGCAAACCCTTTGTTACAAATCAACTTGATCAGATTGTCAACTTATCTGACACAAGTCCATCCCCGTAATTAACTATTGTATAGTAGTAGTCTGATAGGTATACACATGTAATGAAAAATGTTTTGGTTGATCTTTGTTAGCTTAGGTATTTGATTCATATATGTTGAGCCTATCACATTTTTTAATAAGCTTGACAACTTAAGAGATGTCAAATTATTAAATAATGTGATAATATGTTACTGGATACGTATTCAAATTAAATTCATTTGTAAAAGTAATGATACACATACTTTGATTGGCAAATTCTTCATAAAGTTTCTTCACTTTTTTCTTTTTTTGGAAAGCGTTTGGATATCAACTGGGTTCCACTAAAATACAAGCTTCAAATTCTTAAATCGCAATGTCTTTAAATCGGAAAATGGAAAATTTGACATGAGATCATGATTTCTCTTTATTCATCATGCATTAATCTCTAGTGTCAATCTACATGTATTTTATTTTTTCAAATAATGAATATTCCCATTTTTTGTTTTTTCTAAATTGTCAATATTAATCAACCATTTAATAGTTTAAAGAAAAAAATGAAAAAAAACTATGAAATTATAATTGCAGTTTATTAATCAATTAAAAATAAATACATTTTATTTTTTGAATACACTTATTTTTAACTTCTTATACTATAGTTGTAATTTACTTAATATTATTATGACTAATTTTTAATTTAATAAAAATAAAGAAAATTACAAATTGCATAAAAATGAGGACATAATCAATGCGATAGTATACATAGTTTGAAATTTAATTTCCTCTATCACCAAGAGCAGGATTAACTGGGAATGGTTATTCTAACATAACTAGTGGTGGGGGTAAACATCCTTATTAGACTGGAACTTTAGTATTCAACATCTTAGTTAAATCTATTCCCACTTGACAAACCACCTATAAGCTTGCTAAGGTAGTTTGATAGTTGGTAATGTCTTCCGATTTTGTTTTACTATTATAAGTAGATAAATTATGTTGTTATTAATAAATAAAAACTCATTTTTTTTTCAAGTTTTTTTATTTTTTATTTTATAAACCGCTTGACAGCCTCGACATATGATCGGAAACTAACGCCGATTAATCCGAATTTAAATGGGCAATATGATATTAAATTCTTCAAAACTTTAGGCGATTTATAAATAGTTACATTAAATTTTAAATTTCCTTAATTAATCCTTAAAATTTAAGTAAACTTTAGTCTACTAAATTTGGACCGAATTAATTTATTATTAATTTTTTCCGACTTTTTAAACATGTTAAATTAAATAAATAAAAGCACACAACAATGGAATCACACCGCCTACAAAAAAATGTTGTTTGCTTCTTATCTATACAATTTGAAGGAGTAAAGGATCTTAGGGGTTGTTTGGTATGGAAATTTTTCTATAAATTCTATGAAAGTGGGGTGGGACAAATTTGTTTCGAACGTTTAGTATAAGAAAACTGGAAATAATTTCAGAAAAAAAAATTTCCCATCATTTCATTTTACACATCATATTCCTAAACGAAAATACCATCTGATACATAGTATTTTTATTTTCTCACAACATCAGTATAATTAATCCAACATTTCCAGAAAAGTTTTGGACCTACCAATCACCTTTTCGTAACTTATCCGAGAAAAAAAAATTCTCACCATATTCCCGAAAAATAAAATTTTCCTATAAAAAAAATATCTCCCGGTTTCATATAGTCCTTGAACTAAAAAAATCTCACATGAAGGTCCTCAAACTTTGTGTTTGTCATGCATGTTGGCCCCTGGTATAGCATTAGTGGGACAACGACCAAATTGCCACTGTTTACACTAATTATTACCAGAATGCCATGACCCTGAAATTTTTTACCAAAGTGTCACATTAGCAGTCTCGCTACAACACGTGGCGAGTTAGGATTGGCCACGTGACAACACCTTGTTGATCATGCAACTAGCTGCGTAGTGCAACAAGTCTACGTGGCAGGAAACCCCTGCCACAGACTGTCACGTGGCTTAAAACACTGGGTTACGTGGCGTCTTACGTGACTGACACATGTGTAACTCGCTATGCAACATAGCTAGTTACGTGTCACTTTTCTGACACGTGTTAAACTAGCTATGCTGCATAGCGACTTACGTGTCACTGTATTCACACATGTACAAATCGCTATGCAACATAGCTAGTTACATGTAACTTTTTTTTACACGCGGATCCTAACTAGCCCAGCAGTCCAGCGTGTTATGCTTAATATATACCCCCCCCCTCCACTCCCGTTCCATCCATCTTCGGTGTGCTGCATTTTCTATATTACCTAATTTAATTTCGGTTGGATTTTTGTATTGTACATCAGTGTGGGTGCGTTCAAATCAGTTAATTTCCGTAATTTTTTTTATTTTACTGTGTTGATTCATTCTCTTCAGCTAATTAACAGTTGTGTGTTTTTTTCCAGCCAAATTTATTCAAAATGAGTGATGACAATGATTCAGTAATTGCGTTACTCTATTACAATGGGAGAAAATATTTTTGTTCTAATGGATAGGTTTTTGAAGGGGATACAAAAGTATTTCGTATGAGCCCGCTATGTAGCTTTAATGAATTGAAGAAGACAATATACAAGAGATTAAGATTATAACGTGGTCAATCTCTGTCTCACTTAACTGTTAGATGTGCATCGAGTAAAGAAAGTTAAGTTCCAATGGAGATTGTTGAAGATGAAGATATCACCTTAGTAGTAGATGCATTTCGACTACATCCAGATTCCATATTTATTGAGTTGTATGCAGAAATAAACTCTGGTGGACAGTGCAACAGTCAATGTTCTGACCACCGAAATTGGAGAAAGAGAGAGAGAGAGAGAGAGAAATGAGGGCGGTGGGGAAATGGACCAGTTTTATAAGTGGTGGGGTCCACTTAAATAGCTGATCTGTTCAGTGAGTTTCATAGTCTGGTGACACGTGTCACACATGCACGTAACCAGCTGCTCAGCTCAGCGGGTTTACCACAGTGTGACATGTGTCACACATGCGTTGAGTGCTTCAATAGCCGACCCGTAAACAGCTACTCTGTTCAGCAATTTTGTCCACGTAAGACGCCACGTAACCCAGCGTATTAGGCCACGTGGCAGGGGTTGTTTGCCACGTAGACTCGCTGCACTGCGTAGCTAGTTACGTGGCCAATGAGGTGTTGCCACATGGCCAATTCTAACTCGCCACGTGTTGTAGCGAGACTGCTGACGTGGCACTTTGATAAAAATTTTCAAGATCGTGGCATTCTGATAATAATTTGTGTAAACAATAGCAATTTGGTCGTTGTCCTAGCATTAGCTGGTCTCGTAGCAGAGAAGCAAAATGCAACAAACCCAAATCAAATGCAGCAAAATGAGAAATAAAACATCTACTCATTTTATTTGTTATTTTCATTTAGCATATTTAAAAATTAGAAAAAAAATAATTTTCTATTCAATAAACCAAGGGTCCATTTTTAATATAAATGGAAAATTAAAATTAACATATTGTTAGTTTTATGGAAGATTTTTTTAGTCACTAGTTAAAATTTAAGGGATTAATTGAGACAAATTTAAAAGTTAAAGTGTTTATTCAAAAAAAAAAAAATCTGCTAACGAGTGTTCTAAAAGCACTTGTTAAAGGATTATAAATATAAAATATTTGATTAAAAAAAAATACTACATTTAATAATACAAAAGAAGTTTTAAGTATAAATGGGTTTAGAGTTTTTTTTTCCCCTTAAATAATACAAATTGGTCCCAACCTTTCATGGGCCCTGGCGTGTAACTGGTGCAGGCCCATTTTTAACAACAGACATATCCTCCCGACGGAGCACTTGCCATCCACGTGATCAGGTTCGTTCCTTCCTTGCAACCAGAGAGACCAGAGTGTGATATGAATTTCACTCTTCACCACAAAATTAGGGTTTCCGCTTCATTCGAGTCTCTTCTTCATCGTTGATTCGTTCAATTCACAAAGAACTGGAACGGAAAATTCTCTCACATATCTCCTTCTTTCATGGCAACCCCAAATACCTGTGTTGCCGAAAACCTGGCAGAAGTCCCACCGGAAAACAAACTCGACGGTGGTGCCGAATTATCTAAATCGGTTAACGAACTCGCCGATTTGTCCATTGCTATACAAAATTTCAAGAGCAAGTACGATGAATTGCAGAAGCATCTCGAATTCATCGAACAAGCCATTGATGCAAAGACCAAGGAGTTTGAAGTTGCAGGTGTAGCCCTAGGTTCTAGTGCAATGCAGAACGTGTGCGCAGCCATCGACAACGGCTCTGTTAAATCTAACGGTGACAACGGAGTCTCTGTTAAATCGGACGGTGACGTTAAATCGGATTCGAGTCCAAAACCGAAAGAGAAGCCTGAGGGCGAAGAAGAAGAAGAAGAAGAAAAAGAAACCGAGCTTGTTTTGCTTTGTAAAAGTATGAATAGCCGTGACCTGCGTAAGTTCATAGTAACGCATATATCCAAAACGACGATACTTCGGGATAAAATCCCCGTGGCTCTGAAGAGTGCGCCAAAACCGTCGAAACTGGTGTTTGATTCCATTGGGAGGTTTTACTTGCAGGGTAGCAAAGCATACACCAAAGACTCGCCCATGATTCGTGGAAGGCTAGCTTCGGTTCTCTCTTTGGAATTCTATCTGTTATCTGGTTGCGTTGAGAGTGAAGCAGAAATGGACCCTTCACTGAAGGAAGAAGCTGCTTCGGCAGCTATTTCGTGGAGGAAGAGACTCATTGTTGAGGGTGGTGTGGCCAACGCCTGCGAAATTGATGCCAAGGGTTTGATTCTTTTCATTGGTTGCTTTGGGATACCTGGTGTTTTCAAGAACGAGGATATATCAAACTTGGTTCGTTTGAGCAATCCTAGAGAATTCTCGCATGCCCTTCGCCAGTCTCAGGTCCTTCCTAGGAGGGTTTCAGGTAAATGCGTTTTTGTGATGCAAATGCAATGCTAGAGTCACGCTGATGGTTATGCATATTTGTTTACGGTTCTGCTATTAAATTTTGAAAGTTGTGATAAGAAATGGAATGGTGTTGTTTTCTTTGGAAGGGTAAAGTGCTAAACAAATAGGGTCGTTCCATTTAAATGGAATTCAGAACAATGAAAGTAAACTGTTTTTATTGATGAGACTTGAGTTAACTAATAAGATGGAATCTTTAGGCCATGGAACCCTCAAGGATAAAGTGAGCTTCAGCTTCTTCCATCCATTTAATGCGGTTCAAAGTGGGTATTAGTTCCTTTTTATTGTGTTTAAAGAAGTATTATATACTATATGAAGCTGTCTGGTGTCAGTTTATTACCCTAAGAGCAACACCTGGTTTGGAATAAAATTCTGAAGAGAAATTTCGTGATGCATATCATGATTCAATTCTTTGTGATGCTGACAAGTCATTAACCTTTTTTTGGGTGTTTGAAGGTGTTACAAATGCAAATCCTCCTTTTTTGGACATAAACAAATATGTTGTGAATTCCCCAGCAGTTATCTTTGAGTTCAATACAGATTTTGGCAATAAGTTGCACATTCCACAAACCATTCATCACTGCAAGACCACCTCTCTTTTTTTCAAGATCAATCGGTGTGGATCCCTATTTACAGCATAGTGTTATAGACTGTTTTATATATGATGCACATGATAACATGACCGACCTAGAACTACGACAAACAGGGACTGCTCATTTTTTCCCTTGAAAATTAATATGTTGTCACGGATAGCTACTTGTGGTGAAATTTTTTAAGATGCTAAATTATCTCAAATTATCCATTTCAACTGACCTTTGATAGTAGGTGCTGCAAATATAACAAAATTCAACGCCTTCGACATTTTCATTTTGATATAGCATAAGCAATGGCATTCTGATTTACTTTAGGGGGTTTAGAGTCTAATTGATGGCTTAATCTAAAGTTTTACCATTGTGAGACTGAAATATAATGTTTCATCCTATTTTGGGGAACTACAACTCCTTCCTTGATTAGCATTTAGCATCCATTTGTGATTCCACTGAATAAAAATTTTCTCCTATTAACGAAAATATTTTCCATTTTTTGGTTCAATCTACAATATTTTTCTGTACTCAGTTTTTCCCCTTCTTGCTATGTACCGATTAGATTTGCCATGTAATTTAGGATCTTATTCTTTTTTCCATGTAATTTCTAATTTTTCAAGATACTTGATTGGCTTCTGACAATCTGGTCTTTTGCTGCATTGCTCTCTTCTTAGTTGATCTGTTCTAACTCCCAATCTGTTAACTAGTGCAACCCTTCCCAAATATATTAATAAGGAAAGTCAATCAAGCTCAGAACATTTGTACTATTACTGGTCATCACAGTGGTGGAATGGAAGTAGTGTTCGATTTTCATGTAACAGGATTTTTTCAACTTTTTTTAGTTAGCTTGTTGATTAGCTTTGTATTTCCACAAAAAACAATTTTTTTCTCCTATTAAGTACATATTTTTCTTTACTTACAGTTTTTCTATTTTAAGAAAATTGTTCCCTAAACCACTAATTAGGATATTATCCTTTCGGTATGCAATTTCCAATTCTTTTTAAGATACTTGATTGACTTGTGACTATTTGATCTGTGTGCTGGTTTAGGGTGTGCCTGTTTAAGGAGGTGGAAAGTAGGAGATGGAAAAGTTAGAAGTAAAATTACTTCACACTTTACAAAAAAGTAGGATGGTTGAAAATAATTAGCATCTCATTACACTCCACCCTGTGAATTTTTTCTAATCGTCTAGCATAAACATGAATTGGAAGGAGTTGTCCACCCTTTGCCAATCAACAATGATTGAAAATCAAACCCTTTCCATCCCAATCTAATTTCACTCCCTCCCAATTTCCCCCCTCCTAAATCAGGCACACCCTTAATAATTATGTATGAATATGTTGTTGCTTTCTCATATTCTCAATCATTTGATTTTCTCGATCTCATTAATTATTTATATTGGCCACAGATATTGCAGAGGGAATGATGAAAAAGGGCATGGTTGTTGAAGCTCTTGACTTGGCTTATACCTTCGGTTTTGAAGAGAAATTTTCTCCTAAGACTACACTGAATTCATTTCTACAGAAGTCTGAAGAAGCTTGGAAGAAAGCCAAAGAAGAAGCACGTGATTTATCTAGTATGCTGGTATGTTCTAGTCCCGACATTGTCTTGTTATGTTTCATTGTGAGTATTCACAGTGCTGATGTATATTGATATTTCACAGAAGGAAGCAAATAAAAATTATTTGGCTGCTTTGAAATCTGTAGTCAACTGTTTGTATGGTCACAAGATTGACTTTGTAAAATTTCTTCCTCGGTGGCAACTTAAGGATACGATTATCATGTTGGAGAAAGATATTAAGGCAGCCAACAAAAAAGTTGGAGAGTTAGTGCCTAAGAGAAAAGTAGAGAAAAACAATTCCTCAAACAAAGTGACGATTCCAGAGGCAAAACGAACAAGGTTCACAGAGGCAAAACAAACAAGGTTCGGTATGAAAGATCCATCTGTGGCATCACCTTCAGTTGTTACCTTGCACGAGCAAAGGATTGCTAGTCATATGGATGGCTATAGTCCATATGATGGTTCATTGGCGGCGCATTTGCCGGATGCTAGATCCTATGGCTACCCAAATAATTATCCCACTGCATCATCTGCACAAATTGGATTTGTTTCAAGGTCTTTGTCAGAAAGTTATCTTGGAAGTACGGTGACAAGTGGGGGTAATATGCTTGGAGGAGCTGTAGCTGGTCCTGCTATGTCACCTGGAATAGGTATCCCAACTGGTTCATATTCCGGGTATCAGGGGGATATGATAAAAGACAATGTTGGGACAATGCTGAATAGCAACACTCATCCGTATAGATGGCATGGAATGGGAGAAGGGGCGTTATCTAATGATAGGTCAGTTGGGCAGAGTTTTGTGGGACAACCTTCATCAGCACGAGTAAGTAATTTATATGGAAAAACATCTACAGAAGGTTTTACAGGTTTGCAGGATCATCTCTCTATTGGTGTTGCTAGTCGCAGTGCAGGTTCTGATTTGTATGGCTTTGCCGATGCTGTATTCGATACGTAGTCATTCCGGGACAGTAATTATTCTCCAAATTACTTTTGTATTTTGATCAGCTGGAATCAAATGTCATCCTCTACAAATTTTTACCTGCCCTTGGAAAACAAGATACAGATTTGTACAATGTTAAATTTCATTTCTCATAGTATGATCCAACTTGGGAGTTATTTTTTTTTTTTATATATGTTTACAGGAATAGCCATAGGATTGACATGCAGGGGATGGCTATTTTAATCATAGGAATAACCAATTTGTCATGAGCAGCGTACGAGTTTGTGGTTTGAAGGGTTACAACTTATTTTTCCTTACAATCTCTTTCCATCATTTTTTATTTTACTATTTGATCAAAATTAAAGTAATGGTTTTCACTTGATATTATTTTATAACTGTTAATTTGATTTGATCAAATTGGAGAAAAAAGTTGTAAGAGGTTGTAAAAGAAAATTGGTTGCAAGTATAACTTCTATTTATATATGGGTTTAATATTTTTCATGTTGCAAGAGATAAATTTATTTCTTATATATACATATAAAAGTGAGTGTGAGGTTTATTCTTTTTCTTTTTCTCTTTTCTTATTATATAAGTTCATATGAATTTCACACATTTTTATGCCTGTGTGAATTTATTTATATATACTATTCATTTTCAATTTGGTTATGATATGAAAAGAATTTTCGATCTAATTGTTATATACAGATTTACTTTGAATGTTTTTGTTATTTGCTATTGGTATAAGTTATAACACTTTGAGATTGAAATAGATTTAGTATAAATAACAGAAATTGAATTGAAAATGATTTTTAATATTGGGACAAAAAATGTATCCTTTTATATATAGGATAGGAAAAGTGTTTGTCATTTTAAATGACACAAAATTATGTCATTTTAAGAGAGATAGACACAGAATAAATTTATTTAATTTAAAATTTAAATAAAAAAATTTATTCTGTGTTTATCTCTCTTCTAAAATGACATAACTTGTGTTATTTAAAATGACAAACACCAAGCCCTTTATATATATATATATATGGTTTATCATTTCTCAAGCTGTCGGAGATAACTTTTTCTCCGGCTACTAAATATAACCATTCAAAGGTGAATCAATTAATATAAATAAATAAATAAAATGACATAGTTTTGGGGTGCCGGAGATAAACTTATCTTAACTGTTTGAGAAATATTTTTTTCCATATATATATATATATATATAATTTCTAATTAAGTTTTTATATTTTTCTGTGTTATACTTTTATAACATCAAAAGTGAGGAACAAATATAAAGAATTAAACTACATTTTTTTTTGGGATAAAAAATGTTTTAACATAATCTTAATTTTAGATAGCAGTTAGCTATGGCTTAGTTAGAGGCTATATTGCATCAATATTGATTCGGGATATAAGATATGACACGATACTTCTATACATTAATTTTAAAAAATGTTAGATTTTGACACATTGGGATATATTTTGATATTAAATTAAAATGCAGTGTATATTTTATTTAATATTCAATAATATAACAAAAAGTTGAAGTTAAACTTATAATATTCATCCATATTGCAAAGAAATATAAGATACCATAAATATTTATATTAAATTTAATAAAATAAGAAATATAAGATATTATAAATATTTATATTAAATTTAATAAAATGATATTCGTAATTTAATTTTGAATCTTTTTTTAATCTTTGCAATATATGTTGAAGTGTCAGAAAATGTCGAAAAATATCATTACGACGCATCAAAATTTTTGAAGCGTGTCAGAGGTTCTACTTTTTGACGATGTAACCTTTTGAGTAAATATCATTTTTGGTCCTCATCAAATTTCACGATGCCCGCTTTAGTCTTTAGCAAATAAAAAGGCTCATCGTGGTCCCTAAGAAATTCAAAATGGATCATTTTAGTCCGGGACTAATATGGTTCTTTTTTGAATTTGTGAGGAACCACGATTTCAACTAAATCGGTCCATTTTGAATTTCTTAGGACCTCAATGGGCTTTTTTATTTGCTAGGGACTAAAGCGAGTATCGTGAAATTTGCTCGACGAAAAAAGTATTTACTCTAACCTTTTTTATCTTTTGTAGTGGTATTCCACACGTAAATTGGTCAACGAGCTTGTCTTGACTCTTGAGTGATGAATTTAGGGACAATAGTATGAAGTGTTTATTTCTTAACAAAGTGTGTCCTCAGAAAATGAACAAAACGGTAACGATGAGAAACGAAGCTAATATAGATAAACCAAAATGAACAGAGTATACAAGCTACACGCGACGCTGATAAAAAACGGACAACACGAGAACCCTCTCTCCCTCCGCACCTTCTACCTTCGTTGTGCAGAGTCATCATCAACTCCCGACACCGCACGTTATGCTGCCAACGTGTTGCTCCGTTTTCCCATACCCGACCCGTTCACCTACAACACCATCATCAGACACGTGGCACTCCACTCTCCCTCCCTCGCCTTCTCCCTCTTCACCCACATGCACCGAAACGGCATCCCCTTCGACCACTTCACCTTCCCACTCATTCTCAAACCCTTTGTTCGCTTCAAACGTTGTCACCACCACATTCATTCCCTCATTCTTAAACTCGGGTTCGATTCCAACATCTACGTCCAGAACGCGCTTATTAATGCTTACGGTTCTTGTGGGTCCCTCCATATTGCCTTCAAGCTGTTCGATGAAATGTCCCACAGGGACTTGGTTTCTTGGTCCTCCTTGATTGCTTCTTTAGTCAACAACGGGTTAGCCAGTGAAGCCATTTCTATTTTCCAACAAATGCAGCTACGGGATAGTGCTAGTTTACCTGATGGGGTTGTTATGCTTAGTGTGATATCTGCTGTTTCAAGCTTGGGTGCGCTGGAATTGGGTATATGGGTTCATGCTTTCATTGTTAGGACTGGGCTTGGTCTCACCGTTCCACTGGGTACTGCTCTTATTGACATGTATTCGAGATGTGGGTCCATTGATCGTTCCGTCAAGGTGTTTGATGAAATGCCTCACAGAAACGTGGTTACATGGACGGCTTTGATTAATGGGCTCGCTGTGCATGGCCGTAGCAGGGAAGCTCTTAAGGCGTTTTATGATATGAAGGGTTCTGGTTTGAAGCCTGATCGCGTTGCGATTACGGGTACCTTGGTGGCTTGTAGTCATGGTGGTCTTGTGGACGATGGATGGCGGGTTTTCGGGAGCATGTGGAGTGAGTATGGTATTGAACCGATGCTTGAGCATTATGGTTGTATGGTTGATCTTCTTGGTCGTGCAGGCCTGCTCCTTGAAGCTTTCAAATTTGTGGAGGAAATGCCTATCAAGCCAAACTCTGTTATTTGGAGGACCTTGCTGGGTGCATGTGTGAATCACAATCATCTTGTGTTGGCTGAGAAGGCCAAGGAGCGGATCAATGAGCTGGAACCCCATCATGATGGTGATTATGTGCTTTTATCGAATGCATATGGTGGGGTTGGTAACTGGGTTGAGAAGGCTGGCGTGAGAAATTCAATGAGGGAGAATAGAATTGTCAAGGAGCCTGGCCTTAGTGTGGTTCACGTTGATCAAGAGGTTCATGAGTTTGTATCAGGTGATAATTCTCATCCACAATGGGAGGAGATTACGAAATTTTTAGTTTCAGTTATAGACACTGTAAAAGTTGGAGGTTACACCCCTAATACGTCCACTGTGCTGCATGATATTCAAGAGGAAGAGAAAGAGCATTGTCTGGGTTATCATAGTGAGAAATTGGCAGTGGCTTATGTGCTTCTTTATCATAGGGATAGAAGGACCATTAGGGTCATTAAGAATCTTAGGATTTGTTATGACTGTCATAATTTCATGAAGCATGTTTCAGGTATCTTTGACAAAGATATCATTATTAGAGATCGAAATCGGTTCCATCATTTTAACGAGGGATCATGTTCTTGCCGAGATTTTTGGTAAATCGTGCTAGTTCAAATGTGAAATGAAAATGATATGTTAACATTCATTTATCTGAACCAATGATTTATTTCAAGCCTTTTATTCAATAGCTTCTGCCAATGATATCATTCATGCAATGTCAATTTCTGTAGATGCTTCCATAAATTGCAAGTCCCGTATGCTTTTCACTTTCTAATCACTTTAAAGTTGTGTTCTGCATTTAACATACCTATCCTTCCAATTTATCTTACATTTCCACCTCGTATGTAAGAGCTACGATGTACCGACAACGACACGGGACACGACACGATACATCGACACGTTAATTCTAAAAAATGTCATATTTCGACACGTTAGGATACGTTTTGATATTAAATAAAAATTTTACTGTATATAATATAATTTATATTTAATACATATAACAGTCTATAATAAGTTATATAATCAATCAAATATTCAAATTTTATAACATAAATATAAATAAAAATAATTTTTCGTACTTTGTTAATTTTTCATGTCAAATTTTATAACAGAAAAAAATTGATTTATAAATTATTATTTTATATGGGAAAAATGTTTGTCATTTTAAATGACATAAAGTTATGTCATTTTAGGAGAAAGATAGACGCAAAATAAATTTTTTTAAAATTTAAATTAAAAAAAAAATCACTCACTTTTTCTCTTTCATGATTTTCATTTCTTGTGTATGTCTCTCTCCTAAAATGACATAGCTTATGTCATTTAAAATGACATAACTTATGTCATTTAAAATGACAAACATCAAACCTTTTTTATATTTAGTTAATAAAATAAAATTAAGACTAAAAAAAAATGTGTCGGATGCGTGAGTGTTGACCGTATGTCGAAAAAAGTTGATTGCGTGTCAGAAAAACGTAACGTGTCGGGACGTGTCGGATAGTTGACCGCGTGTTCCAAAATATTGACCCGTGTGTCGGTGTCCGACGGCCGAATTTTTTTACAAATCGTGTGTCTGTGCTTCTGAGTGTAAGAGTATGCTTGTCTCCATCTTCTAAGCCGGTCAAAACTGGGAGCTGGGAGTAACAAAATTATTTTCTAAAAATATATAATGGGAAAAGTGTTTCTCTGCAACAAGAGATAAAATATATAATTCAGTTGGGGCTATGCCCCGTGTAGTTACCAAAAATATATATATATATATACTTCAGTTATCCCATACTAGATCAGCCGTATACTCTCAGTTCCCTTGCAAAACGTCTTCTACTATGGCTATTCTGTTTCTTGTTGAATTCTGAAGTTACTTAGTATGGCCTTGTCTGTGGAGGTGTTAAAATCATGACAACTTTGAGTGCCAAAACTGAAAATCAAGAATAAAAAGCTATGACAATTTGTCAACAAGGTTGATTAAAAATTACGGTAAAAGTAAAACATGATCCATCTTTTACGGATTGCTTTTTGAGTGGGGTTTTCCTTGTTGTTTTAGCCAGGCTGGTTCACGATTGAACACCTTGCATAAACAAGGAATGAGTCTGCAGGAGTGACCAAATTAACCTTTTTTTGTTACTTTTTAGGCCGGTGAAGGAGGTTTTGAAGTAAAAGCAATAACTGTAGTGTCTAAGACCCAAAATTGTGCACCATAGGAGGTAAGATGGTGTGATGAATAAACAAGCATGCCGTAGATTAAGGAGATTGTTAGGGAAAAAGTAACCAAAATGCGAAAACGCAACATGTCATGTCAGGCATATATAGTTTTCAAAGCACCAAGACCTGAAAAAATAATAATAATAATAATAATAATAATAATAATAGTAAATGGAAATGGCATCCTTGCTTGTGGTTTCTTTGCCGTTTTGGACAATGCTTTTGATGTCTGTCTCGGAAAATGGTGTGCTAGGGGCTCCATTATTTCCTTCAATGTTTGTGTTTGGAGATTCATTAGTGGACAGTGGGAATAACAACTATCTCAACTCTTTAGCAAAAGCCAATTTTGAGCCTTATGGTATTGATTTCCCAGATGGTCCAACAGGGAGATTTTCAAACGGTGAAACTCTCATTGATTTACTAGGTAAACTACTACTTTTTATTTATTTATTTATTTGATTACCAATTACATAAAAATCACAAGAGTACGAGTTTGGAACTGGTAAAGTTGTTCTTTTGTAACTGAAAGGTCACTAATTGATACATATCCAAAGATAAGATTGCGTGTAAGAATTATCCTCATCTTATCCTCCCTGGTCGAGAGTAATTTTTATTTTATTTTTATTCTTTTTACCAATTACATAAAACCAAAGTGATTTTGCACTGACACTAGTTTTGCAGGTGAAATGGTGGGTCTTCCTTATCTGCCAGCTTTTGCAGACATTACTGTAAAAGGCAACAACATTTCCTGGGGAGTAAACTACGCTTCAGCTGCTGCTGGAATATTGGATGAGACAGGGAGAAGGCTGGTAATCTCTGTGCTAACTAGTTTGTGTGTTTTGTGAAACTGTTTTATGTCCACATTTTTAACTCAAGGACCAAATGACACAGGGAGAACGCATTAGCTTTGACCAGCAGGTGCGAAATTTTGAAACAACCTTAAACCAACTTAAGACCATAATGGATGACAAGAGTTTGAGTCAACACTTGGCAAATTCATTGACAATGGTGAACCATGGAAATAATGATTACATAAACAACTATCTCTTGCCTGAACTATATGCAACAAGCTTCATGTATGACCCCAAAGACTATGCTGAACTACTCGTTGAGCGCTACAAAAAGCATCTTTTGGTAAATTTTACAAACTTATGTATATTTTCTTGGAGAAATGTTATATTTACAATATATTTTCGATAACAATCATATCTTTACTGTTGATTTCTACCTCAACGATTATCATTTATTGCGAATTAATAATTAATTAATGAATTTGATTTGCGAAAATAATAATCGTTAATTAGCAGAAATCAACAGTTAAATATGATTGTAAACAAAAATAGGACGTAAGTATAATCTTTCTCATATTCTTATTAGGAAATTTAATAGATACTAGCAAAACAGTGATAAGGTGGTGTTTAATAGATATATTAATCTACAGGCTTTGCATGGTTTGGGGCTAAGAAAGTTCTTGCTTGGAGGACTTGGACCACTTGGTTGCATACCGAATCAACTATCCAAAGGCCTTGCCCCTCCAGGACAGTGCCGGGTTGATGCCAACCAAATAGTTGACATGTTTAATGTTTTGTTGAGATCTTTGGTGGACCAACTGAATACTGAGTACCATGGTTCAATTTTTGTGTATGGCAACACTTATGGAGCTTTCAGTGAGATCTTAAACAACCCAAATACCTATGGTAAGAAATGCCCTCAATTTCTTTATTAATAATAGAGTAAATATCCATTTTGGTCCCTAACAAAAAACACGGTCCCCATTTTAGTCTCTTACAAAAATAAATTAGTCAGTTAGTTCCTAACAAATTCAAAGTGGACCCATTTTAGTCCTTTTGAGGGACAAATATGGGTCTTTTTTGAATTTGTGAGGAATCACGATTTCAACTAAATGAGTTCATTTTGAATTTGTTAGGACTAACTGACTAATTTATTTTTGTAAGCGACTAAAGTGGGGACCGTGTTTTTTATTAGGGACCAAAAAAGATATTTACTCTTAATAATATCATATGATTATGGTTGAGAATTGACCCCACCAGCCCTTTCTTATGGGTCAACTCTTAGAGGCCCATTAAGAGGTTACTTCTCTGTCTGCCAAAAATAAGATTTTTAGACCATCATCATAAAAGATCACGCATTCCGTGCACGGCTCACCTCATAACATCCAGAGATACATTGCCTCATGCACAATAGTATTAGTGGAGTCTAATAGGCAAAATGATTATGGCCCTCTCTTATATTAAAGAATAGTTTTTCACCTATATATATATATATACTCCTTCTTCAGCCATTGAAAGAGTATCTAGCATCCCCCTCCACATCCCCATCTAAATTTAGAATCTATATTGAAGGAACATTGACTTAAATGCCATGTTTTTTTAAAAAAAATTGTCTAAATGTTACGCGAACAGTCATAACGAACTTTGTTAGGTCACGTGGCACGTTTCCATTAGCGTACCAAGTTTGTTACCAGTGATAGCGAATTTAGTCTAGTCAGTTTTTTTCTTACAAAGTGTGCACGTGTCACGAAATCATAGACGACTAAGTTCGCTATCATTGATAACGAACTTGGTACACTAATGAAAACGTGCCACGTGGCCTAATCAAATTCGCTCTGACTAGTAGCGAACTTATATGCGTGATAGTCTGCTAAAAAGTACTATTCTTAAGAAAGTGTGACATTTAAGTCACAAGATACTTCAACCTATAAGAAAAAGAGACCTAAAGTTCCTCGGTCAAACGGTTCACTTATGATTGATATGGTAATATTTTTTATTTATTTTTTTATCACTACAGGATTCACTGTAACAGATAGAGCCTGCTGTGGAATTGGAAGGAATCAAGGACAGATTAGTTGTTTACCAATGTCTACTCCATGTGCAAATAGAGACCAATATGTGTTTTGGGATGCATTCCATCCCACTCAGGCTTTGAACAAAGTTCTTGCTAGAAGGGCTTTTAATGGACCACCTTCTGATTGCTACCCAGTTAATGTGAGACAGATGGCACTAATGTAGATACCATTCTGTCAAAGCAAAAAATCAGCTAGCACCGTCTATTATATATTAAAGGAGAATTTCGTGGAAACTTTTTGTTGGTAATGTGAATGATTTTCCAATGAATTTCAATGTAAACTTTAATGGTGCGTAATATAAGAGGTCCTATCTCCTATGACAACAAAACTATTGCAATAATCTCCATCTCCTTGACTCTAACTAGGTTAAATTATGGTGCTAAATCCTACATTACACAAAGAGCACACAGGGTGGGAAATGATATGGGGAAGCAATGGGAAAGAAACTATGGAGAATTGTGAATCGTTTTTTGTGCCATCAAACAGTTACTCCTAATCACTCAGTGTATGAAAACTAAAAAAATGAATCACTTATTTTTGTTAAACCAAGAATTGTTTGGCCAAATTTCATGTGAGTTTCTCAGAGATATCAGCAATGTAATCAAGGAAGTTTCCGTTAATCAATTGAATTCCCACTTTGGGATTTGAAACTATGATTTTTATTATGCGATATCGTAATTCATGTTTAATAAAGAAAAATATAATAAATAATATTTATGTAATATATATATAATTTAATTAATAGAAAATTTAATTTTCTCGATAATAATTTTAATAAAAAACTGTTGTATCTTGAAAATTAATTGCAGACTAGCAATCATATACATTGCTAATATTCTCTCTTGTTTTTTAGAAAATGTAAAAGTGTTTTTTTTCTTTGGGATAATTGACTCTCCTGCAAAAGGAGATATTTTGTCTATTATTGCCGACACAATATGTAATTGGACCCATCCCTTATAAAAATATAAAAATAACTACATGAATTTTGTGTCAGCAGAAAAGACAACTCTCCAAACTGTAGGAGAGTTGTATTTTTGTATTTCTCTTTTCTTTCTTTTTTGAAAAGGAGGGAATTAGAATTTTATTTGTAAATATTTTCTTTTCTCTCCTGGGAACGGTCCAATTTGAGCATTAAATTTATTTATTTATTTTGTTATTAACAAGGTGCAAGAATTTTGGTAAAGAAAAGGAAATGTGGGTATGCTACAGGAAAAATCCCCAATATTAATATCATAAAGCTTTTGGGTACATAAGGTATATGTAGAAACAAATGGATGAGCTTACCAAAAAAACAAAAAAAACAAATGGATGATGATTAATTTTTCAATTATAAATTGAGAGTTAGAATGTGATTATATTAGAAGGTAACAAATGTAAATAAAAAATGCCGACAAATTTCAAAATGTATCTATTCGAGTCGGGACATTATATTTTACTTTAAATCATCGGTTAGTGATCAGTTATGGAGAAGATGATTACAGACGGTGACAAATCACTAGATGCGAGAGGCTGGGGATTGAAGTTAAGAAATGATGATGTGCACACTGCGCATGAAATAGTAGGGTTAGTATTATGGACTGGATTCATATCCTAACAACTCTATTACTAGCAAGATTAGATAGGATATCATATATGATAACCATATAATCTAGAGAAGATCAAGGGATAAGATCTTTATTCCCATCAATCAAGGCAGATTTCATATCAATCGGGAGATCTCAAAGTTCCAATCCAAAGAAGGTAATCCTTATAAATAAGAGGCTAAAGACATCAGTTACGCACTTTTGACCTATTTACTATTACTGTCAATACTGTGCACACACCACATCTTAGCTACACGTCCATTAATAGTGCGCAGTGATGGCAATCAGATATCTATCTATTAGATATCTCTGAGTGCATACCCTTGAGGTATCCTTATACGGTTCAATAGGACTGAACATTGGCACCGTCTGTGAGAAATCGGTAAATTTCGACTCTCATCCATGGTGAACACGTGCAGCATAGCGCGAAGTCACATATTGCAGGTTGCCTTGCGCACCTAGAAATTGTTGAAACCACGTATATACGAGGAGACAAACCCTATCGCAAAAAAGGCTTTTGATCCTCCGAGAGACTCTAGAATGGAGCTCCAGATCCAAGCAGGTGAGGATTTGACAAAGATTCTTGTAACACCCCGTGTATACCCGGTTTGTTATCATGTCATCGTATTAAGCCACGCTTAAGAAAAAATGTGGAATAACTTTTTCTTTTCAATTATGACGTCATTATCAATTACCAAGTTGATTACTTAATCCTTTTAAAAGCATTGTATGTATGTAAATTGCAAATAGACAGCTATCTACACTGAATAACCTCATACTATAAATAAGTGAGTAACTAAGTCAAGGATCTACAACACGTAGTCCGGACATAATCCTGATACATTTATACAATTCAAATCCAAATAAGACATAGTCAATCAATGTGGCATGGACAACCCCCATGCTCACCAAATAAGGCAACAAAGCCCAACAGAGTCTCCACAACAAAATCATAATAACAACATAAAGCAGGTCAACATCCAAGCATATCATCATAATCAGCATATAACTAACTCAGCTCCGGCCTCCTGCCGCCCGAGGTCTCAACCTCCGAGTTACCTGAACCTGAAATATGTGCCCCAAACATGAGGTGAGATCTTTAAACAGAAATCTCAATAAGACAAGAGGTCCTCAAGAATTTCTCCACCCCAAGCTCACTTACATGTGCAATATAAGTTCAAAAGCAAGAATATAATATAAGTTCCAAAATTAGTGCAATGAAGCAGAATAATCATGTCATGTGTGTCAACTATTCTACTGGCCAGAGAAATGCAGGACTTATATACGTCTATTGCCTACATTCAGTGCAAGTCACTACTTACACCACCCAGAGAATCACCCTATGGCATGTCTACTACATACACGGACTTACCGTCTAGGTGGAACAATACATGCATATTATAAGCACTTGCGCATAACAGCTCCACAGCATTTCAAAATCAATACATGAAAATGCATCATGCATATAAACCATCCCCCCATGGGGTATGGTGGAACTAACAATGGCTAAACCGAGGACACGAAAGCTTACCTCGCAAGCTAACAATCCAAGCCAAGTCCACACAAGCTCAATGGCACTAAACAACACAATCACGGTCTGTTTATACAATAATTAATCATCAATAATCATTGCCAAAGATTACATTAAGTGATTAAGGCTTTCAACTCATTTTAAGTCATTTCATGCAAATTCCGCAGGAGGTATTCGAATACTCCTCGATGAGTATTCTCATACTCCATGTCTCCAGAAAGTATCCGAATACTTTTAAGTATTCGAATACCACAAGGTATCTGAATATTTTTCCCCCAGTATCCCAATACCACCAGGTATCCGAATACAAATACCACAGTATTCGAATACTTATTCAACGGTATCCGAATATTTTTCTTCCCAGAAAGTATCCCAATACTCCTCCAAGGAGTATTCGACTATCAAGGGATAAGTATTCGAATACTACACGAAAAGTATTCGAATAGTTATCAGACAGAATTCAGAAGTTCGTGCATTCTCTGCAGATGTCCTATTTTAATGATCCAAACTCGATCTGAAGCCCAATAACTCCATAAATAGATGTTCATTAACATGTTTTAGACTTAGATTATCAGCCTTTAGCTCAAATAGTTCAAGTTTCCCTTTTTAATGGATTAAACAAGCTAAAATCAAGAAAATAACAAAGAGGTGATCACGGTATACCTCAAATGCTCAAAACTCAAAAAATGAGACAGATTAGGAGACTCCAACACAGCTCCACAACACTGTCTTAGAAGGACCACGAAAATGCAACACAAGATGGGCCCTTTACACCAAAAGGTGGCTTCTTGAAGCCTAAAATGCCATGACAATGTCTTCCCCCAACCAAATCAGAAACACAGCCCCTTAAGCCTCATAAACAGGGGTCACAACTCAGAATGGAGGTGTCTCTCTTCCTCACAAGGCCATGTCTCAAATGTTTGCAAAAGAAAGAAAAGAATTTAAGAGTAAAAATGGTGCCTTGGAAGTTTTACAAACCAAAGGCTCAAGCTTCGGGAGAGGGGAGGGAAGCTCTGAAAACAAAGAGCACGAGGAACTCTACATAGGCAAAATCAGCAGCCCTAGGTTTTTGTGCCAAAGTTTCTATTTATATGCGCCTTAAGATAATCACATTGTATTAGCACTAATAGCTACGCTTAGCATTTTAATCTCAAACTTGGAATTCTGAACCTAGCCATTGTTTTAGGATTTGTCATATTTTTATTTTATTTTTCGCAGTACTTTTCCGGTACGTGCTTTTACAAAGCCAGTATCAGTTCTGACACCAATTCTCATTATTTTAACTTGAAACTTGCAATGCTAGTCCTATATATTATTCTAGTGACATATACATGCTTTTCATAATTTTCCGGGATACTTCATCGGTACGCTTTTATACCGTGAGGCAGAACCGGTATCTGCACTTTTCGTCAGAAAAGCGACTTTCAACATTATTAATCACTTATCATAATTATTTAAGCCTTCTCATAATTATTATGGTCAATTATGGAATTATCTCATAATTAATTAATTTAATTTCCTAATTTAACGGTGCCGGTTTTTACATTCACCCTACCTTTTAAGAATTTTGTCCGCAAAATTAGAAACATACATGTCCCGAAACTCTGGGTACTGCCAGAGAAGCTCGTCCTCTCGCTCCCAAGTACACTCCTCAGGAGTTCTTCTTGTCCATTGCACTTTGACCATCGGAATGATCTTGCTCCTAAGCTTCTTCTCGCCTCGATCGCGAATCTTGAGTGGTCCGAAGAGAGATTCTAGGTTCTCCTGAACCTCCACATCATTCGGTTGCACTACGTGCGAAGGATCCGCAATGTACTTCCGAAGATGAGACACGTGAAACACGTTGTGGATGTTGGCCAAGTTCGGAGGCAAGGCAAGCCAGTAGGCAACAAGCCCTACTCTACCAAGGATCTGGTATAGCCCGATGAATCGCGGGCTAAGCTTCCTCACTCCGAGGGCCCGACCAACACCGGTGACAGGTGATAGTCTCTCAAACACGTGCTCGCCCTCACTGAACTCCAGTGGACGATGCTTAACATCATAGTAGCT